CTGGGTGAACCTGCGGGGAGTAAAAGTGTGGAGGTGCTGTGTCCTTCACTCTGTTCACCTCCTACATGGCCTGCTGTAAGTGTGTGTGTGTCTGTGTTTGTATATGTGTGTGTGTTTGTGAGGGTGGACAACATGGCCAGGCTGCTGACTGGCTACAGCTGCTAAAGGAGGACCCTACGCTGGACACTCGTGATATTTTAAATATCTGGTACTTTTACATAAATTGTTATGGCTGTATTGATTTAAACAACAATAATGCAGTGGGTCCAGCAGACCACTGAGTAACACACACATCAACGCCACACAATGGTTAAATGTTACTTTTCTCTATAATGCTAATCTAGACAGATGGGGAAAATATACATTGTGTTATTTAAATTAAATGATGAAGTTCCAGGCCTTTTTTCACCAAGAAGACCAGCACATAATTTTTTTCAGGCTGGATTCGTGAATGCTGAATGTAGTGTATCAGACTGCCAGTTTACGAGATCTTTCATGAGACACTTTTGAACATTTTGTAACATCAATTGTGCTTCGGACCCCCACGAGTTGTTGATACCTAAACAACAAACCTCATCTTCTGTTTGAGACTGTGCTTGTGACTTTAATACGTGAAGGCATATGCCGCTTAGCAAAAAACTTTAGCCTTTACAGGGCGACTAACTGCAACGCACACAAAATGTATTTTAGCGTGTTCTTTTTTCTCCTATCTGATTAATGCTGCTTTTTTTCAGTTTTAACAAAAAGTGGTGCAGTTTTAGACAGAATATCGTCACAGTCCTATGAAAACCTACAAATCAAAATTTTTTGCGATTTTTACTTTTCTGCATCATTTGAGCTCAGCAGCTCTCCTTTCATTGTGTGAAAATTTCGTGATGATTGGACCAATATAACTGCTTCAAAATTACTTAGAATAAAATCTCTTTCCTTAGACTTACATTGAAAGTAAAGAATGTTTTTGCCCTCTCCGGAGATACTTGTTTTTCTATGGACAGCGACGATATGTTCTTCATAAAAACATACATAAGAAAAATATATAAATGGGTGAGTTTGTCAGGCTTTCTATGTAAGAGAGGCCGATAGAGGATTTAATCAGAATCAGAATCGGAATCTATTCTCCAAGTAAAAGATGTACAGCAGAAAACTAAATCCAATAAAATAAATATAGAAATATATAATATATTATTTGTTTTTTATCATGAAACCAGCTGAGTGATTATAAATGCAATTGAGAAAACATCTACAGTGGCGCTACGGACCCTGACGACCCGGCGCGCCCCCTGCTGGGATGTGCGCGTTTAGCTTTGTGCCACTTTAACTAGTTTATTGTCATCGAGCTGTTTCAGCATCTCCAACTAACATGGCTAATCTAGCATTTTAGTTATAGTTATTTTCACCTGTCCATCGATTTATCACTCTGTAGACGTTAGCTGACATTACTGTGCTCTGATAGCTGTGAAGGAATTTTTCCAGGAATCATTTATATCCTTTATTTAGTTTGGACTCCCACATCGTTGTGGGTTTGGTTCTCCAACAGTTCTGGACACACCCTCGGATTTCAATCTTGGCAACTGTGACAAAGATAAAGTGACTCACCTTTCTGTGGAGGCTGAAGTGATAAGAGCACCTGTATTTCTGAAGTTAATAACTGTCCAAAAGGCAGTAGCAGAACTTTCTTTACCCAGAGTTTACACACTTCAGTTTCTTGTGAAAAGGGCCTATTATTGGCTTTACGTTATACCTGCTCTTACAGTCAGTGTCTATTTTATTACACTTACTCCATAAACTGCACGTATATTTTTCTGCCATTTCTGCATTACTAGTTTAATGACATGATGAATGACAAGTGAAACTGCCCCTCAGGAGAAAGTAGCTGGAAAGCCTGATTTGGAAAAGTCATCTGTAGTGTGTGGTATGAAGAGTATGCTCTAAAACTCCTCTCTGACTGCAGTGCCTGTCCAAAGGCCCTATAAATAACCTCTCTCTCTCCCACTCTCTCCATCTCTTTTCCTCTATCTCTCCCTCTCCCCCCCCTCACTCTGTCTCTCTGCCGTCTTTCTGTCAGCTCCCTCTCTCTTTCAATAAATCTCTCCGTAATTGTGAGCAGTAAGCGCTTGCCAAATGATGATTGCATTATAAACTATTAGCATTGTTGTTTCGAAATGTCCATCCGCATTACCCAGAGCTCGCTAGACAAACCACCTCCAGCTCCAGCTCCTAACGACATCAGTTTGATATCTGAAAAGACGTCCTTTTTTCTGCAGCGTGAACTCGGTTTCGACACTCTTGCTGCTCGGTGAATGGTCACATTGTCCCCCGGGAGGGATAAATAGGTTTCTTAATCACTCAGAGTGGCAACTTCTCATGTTCATTGTCATGCCCAATGAGGCGTGACAGCGAGACGTTCTGTTGAAGGCCATAAAAATGTGGGGTCAGTGCCAGTGCTTCAGCGCGAGACAGTGGGGTCAGTCTCCTCTCCCGGCCGGCCGCGGGAGAAGGCCTCGCGGGCCTGACGTCGGCCTGCCAGTCCCCGGCATCCATGCCTTTGGGAACACTTCCAAACAATGCTCTCCTTTCAGGCCCAACCCATTCAGCCAGCCAGGCAGAAGCCTTTATGCTTGAACGAGGCTTGAAGTACTTGTCATTCTTGGGGGGAAATCTTTTGCACTGTCTGCATTCCTGGTTCCTCCAGTTCGTATTATTGATTTACAGAGAAGTGGAATCTGTTTTGTTAGTGATCCTCTGACTGTCTGAGGTGTTAAATCCACAGCACATCTGCATGTCTGTGATAATAACGATTTAATGGCGCAGAGTGTAATTCCAGTAATGCAGCAGGGAAATTCCATTGTCCTCTCGTCAGTCCGCTTCGTCTTTGCTGCTCTTTGTGGGAGGCAATTCTTGGGAACTTTGGAATTTTTGAGCTTTTTAGATACAACTGGGCTTTTTTGTCGTTTTTTTGTTGAGAGGTTCTTCAAAGCACATGGATGGCACATTGGAATTTGGTAGAGTTTGTTCAGCTGATTAAAAAGGAGGCTTTCCAGCTTTCTTCCTTTCTAATTGTCAAAGTGACTTTTGATTCACATATTGTGAATATACAGGGAGATTCACTCGAAAGAGGCCCCGAATATTCTGTTGTAACTCCCGTTAGGACGCTACGCCACATACCTTGACGTATGTGTAATCGATTGCATTACATGCGATGCTGGAAGTGATCTCCGTTTTCTGCCCGACACATTTCGACGCAGCACTCCATGTTCCTGGATCGACCAGCATATCAGCTAGCATATCGGGGGGAATAGCAGTGATGTCACGTTGGATGTTTTCCTTCAAATCTTCCACAGCGCGAGGCCTGTTCCCATAGACTTTTACTTTGAGCATACCCCAAAGATAGAAGTCTGGTGGTGTCAGATCCGGCGACTGTGGTAGCCGAAGCCCCTTTGAAAGGACGACTCAATTTCTGCCATGTTCTTTGCATACTGTATACTGTACACCACTATCCTGATGAGAAATCGAGTGACTGGGTAAAGTTGCAAACAGATGTTAACCGTCGTGACGGCTGTCCGGCGCGTACGTCATCGCTCTGCAGGGGCTTCCAGGCTTGTTCGAAGCTCCATATCCTGAGGAGCACATTGCACGTTGTTTGGTTCAGATTACAGAGTCAGATCATGGTTGTGCCCTACCTGCTTTTGTTACGTGGTGTGATGAGAACTTTCTTGACCTTAATGTGACAAAAACTAAGGAGTTAATTATAGATTTCAGGCAAAATAAAAAGAAACCAAAAGCTAGTATCATACATGGAAAAGAGCTACAAATTGTGGACACATATAAGTACTTAGGAACAGTATTTGGCTCCCAACTTAAATTTGATGCAGATACAGAGCTGGTTGTTAAGAAGGGTCAACAAAGAACTCATTTACTGCGTGAGCTGAATTCTTTTCATGTTTGTAATACGGTGCTGTGCAATTTTTATCAGTCATTTATTGAAAATGTTTTTACTTTTTCATTTACTTGTTGGTTTAATGGACTGTCGATGAGGGACAAGAATAGCCAGAATGGTATTGTAAAAATCTGTTCAAAGATAATTGGAGTCCAACAGAGAGACCTGGCCTCTTATCACTCAATCTGATCATATTTTGTCCAGCGAATTCACTGTAATGCCGTCAGGTCGGCGTTATATCGCGCCCCTCAGTAGAACAAATAGCTATTTTAAGTCTTTTATTCCTTCTGCTATCTGCTATATATATGTGTATATATATATATGTATACATACATGAACTGAACTGAACTGAACTGCTTCATCCTAGTGACAGTTATTACAGAATATTCGGGGCCTCTTTCGAGTGAATCTCCCTGTATTATTCTATCAGCAAACAGCACAGCAGCTCGATGGTAATGCTAATATTTTACTGAGCTAAGAGCAGCAGTGACCCCACTTTCCCTTTCTCGGCCCACATCCGTGGGTCAGTGACATGCCTTACAATGAGAGCCTCTTTCTCTCTCAGTGAAGGGAGTCTGTGTCTGAGACGGATGATAGTATTCCTTTCAAATGTGTGGGGAACTGACTAAAGTTCATGGAGGGCAAAAGTCAGAGACAGAGAGACGGCTTTATGGATATCGAGTTTGGAAATTAAAGCTAAAATGCTTTAGAAGTAAAAGGAAAAGACAGATCTGATCAGCCGAACGTCTGTTTGGCTTTGTTTATTAATAGATTGGACGGCTCCCCTTGAGCACTCTACTTTATTATCCTGTCATTTGTTGCGTTTAATTGATGTAAAGCAATAAAACAACTACAGGCTGCCTCCGTCTGTTGTGGGATGACTGCCAGTGAGCATTGTATAAGTGCAGAGCACAGCTATCATGGTTTGATAGAGATATACACTATCCCATCTCCTTCGATAGCAATGATGCTCTGCTCAGCTACTGTAACTTTAATGAGCTGCATTACTTTAATACCTTTTGGAGATTTAGATGGTGAAACTTAAACTGTTTGTTTCTCACAGAGGCTCAGCGGGCATATGCTGTGCTACATGATGATCAAGAGAACAGAAACCACTCCAACGTATTGATGGTAAGAATACATTCAATAACATGTTTAAGATGACGACTTGTTAGTAAATTGGTGTTGGAATGCTGAATCCAGTAAAATCTGGTTAAACTGTTTCGAAATGTCCGTCTGCATTACCCAGAGCTCGCTAGACAAACCACCTCCAGCTCCACCTCCACCTCCAGCTTCTAACGACATCAATTTGATATCTGAAGAGATGTGTTTTTTTCTGCAGCGTGAACTCGTAAACAAAAATGGAAACCCCCTGTCATAGAAATTACTGGGCAGACCACCCAGTCACAAAGCTCACATAGTGTGTAATTTTATAGTTCAGTCTGTTTTTTGTGGATTACCATGTTAGTGGTTTCTAGCTAACTATAAAATGCAATATGTGTAGTATTTTATGTAGACCAGTTAGATAAAAATAGTGCATGAGCTGTGCAAAAGCCTTAGGCAAACCATTTATCTGAGCAGTAAAATGGAAATATAAAATTAAACTATATAAAAGAATTACTTGTTTTCTTGTCAGTTAGTTAGAGTGTCACAGCCATTACATAGATTTGTTATGTTCTCGATTTACTTTAATAAATGATTGACTAGCTAAACCAAGTATTGGGAGAGTTTGAAATGGTTAAAGAGACACATAGCATAAAATCATAAAATCACTATTTACTATAATATATAAAGATGCTAGATTTATTTTGACATTAGTGTTTTTTGGAGAAAATAAATGCTTACTCCCCAGATAAACAGATTGTTAAAATCAAATTTTAATGTATGAGGCTTTTGCGCAGTACTGTACACTGATCAGGCATAACATTATGACCACCTCCTTGTTTCTATACTCATTGTCCATTTTATCAGCTCCACTTACTATATAGGTGCACTTTGTAGTTCTACAGTTACAGACTGTAGTCCATCTGTTTCTCTGATACTTTGTTAGCCCCCTTTTGCCCTGTTCTTCAGTGGTCAGCACTGCAGTAACACTGACGTGGTGGTGGTGTGTTAGTGTGTGTTGTGCTGGTATGAGTGGATCAGACACAGCAGTGCTGCTGGAGAGTTAAATTGTCTTAATTTTCACTCATTTTCACTCTCTTAATTTGTAATTGCAATATGTTGGACATTTTGATCCTTAATATTTTGCTTGTGGATTTTATTGTTTCATTTGAATTTTTTGGCACAAAATTAACTCCATATGTCTGATCCACTCATACTAGCACAACGAACACTAACCGACCACCACTACGTCAGTGTTACTGCAGTGCTGAGAACGATTCACCACCCAAAGAATACCTTCTCTGTGGTGATTCTTTGGGGGTCCTGACCATTGAAGAACAGGGTAAAAGGGGGCTAACAAAGTATGAAGAAGTGGAACAGATGGACTACAGTAACTGTAGAACTACAAAGTGCACCTGTATAGTAAGTGGAGCTGATAAAATGGACTTGTAGATACAAGAAGTTGTACTTAATGAAGTGGCTGGTCGGTGTATGTAATCATGTGATCATGCCTGGTGGACTATTGTATTGTATTGCAAATGTTCCTAGGGACAGCCCTCTTCTTATTCCTCATTTCTCTCTGTTCAGTGCATTTGTAGTGCCTCGTGGGATGGCTCTCATCTTCACTCTGCTTCTTCCCCTCCTCCTGGGCGTTCTGGGAGCTCCGCTGGTCTGCAGCCACTTTCCCCGCTTCTCCTCCAACGACACTGCATTCCAGCATCTGGCCTTGCATCCTGACCCTGCCGTGGGTACAGTCTATGTGGGCGCACGTGATCACCTCTACCAGCTGGCTGGCCTAGACGGCTTGCGTCTGGAGGTTGAGGAGCGGACAGGTCCGGTGAGGGACAGCAAGGAGTGCCTCCCGCCTGTAACTTTGGACAACTGCCCCCAGGCCCGACTGGTCAGTAACCACAACAAGCTGCTGCTGGTGGACCCCTACTCCCTCCAGCTCATTACCTGCGGCAGCGCCCATCAGGGCACCTGTCAGAAGCGAAGCCTGGTTAGCGTCAGCAACGTTTTGTTCTCTGCTGAGAGGCCTGTGGATACGCAGTATGTAGCCGCTAACGACCCAACCGTCTCCACTGTTGGACTCGTGGTAAGACCACGAGACGGGGCCCCGTCCCTCCTCTATGTAGGACGGGGTTACACAAGCAGCCACCCGCCAATCTCAACTCGCCAGCTTTCAGCCGAACCCATTTTTTCCTACGAAGAGACAGCTAAACTGGCCGTGGCTGGCCGGCTCTCGGAGTACGACCACAATTTTGTGGCCACCTTTACGCATCATAACCATGTTTACTTTTTATTCTACAGGCGCAATCTTAAAGGTGCTTCTCGGGAATACATAACATATGTTGCACGGGTCTGTCTGGATGATCAAGCATACTATTCCTATGTCGAAGTTCCTCTAGCGTGCCGCTCTGGCTCAACTGGGAAAAACTACAACCTCCTGCAGGGGGCGCAGGTCGGCGGAAAAGAGGCAGACGATGGACAGGTTCTGATGGCGGTGTTTTCCACTGCTCTAAATGCGGCCAGCAAGCCAAGCGAGGAATCGGCACTTTGCGTTTATGCACTGGATGAACTGGATAACCATATTGATGCCACACGAGACCTGTGCTACACACAGGATGGCCAGAAAGAGGGCAGGAAGGTGGCGTATATCGAGTACGATGTCAAATCCAGCTGTGCCAACCTTCCCACGGTGAGAACACGGCTGGTACTTTTAATCTCTTCCAGATCTGTGTTTTAAAAATAATGTGCCAAAATATATAAACAAACAGCTGACCTGTTTGATTGGTTTTAAGGCCATGTGGTTCATGTAGTAATAATAATAATAATAATAATAATAATAATAATAATAATAATATTTTCTCACTAGAAAAAAAACACAGACTACAGAAGGATTATGTTTGAAATGATTGTGTTTGAAAGTTAAGATCCATTTTGTTTTGAGCCCTCATTAAATCACAGGCAGATTATATGCATCTATTATAGTCCTTTAAATGAGTGATTTTCATGCTGTTTGACAAATGTAGAGCAAGCCTACTCCGGAGTTTAGGATTCTCCTTAACGAGGCTACCGGACGAATCGCGGACATCCAGAAAGGAGGCCCGTGGGCACCTGACCTTGGCCTGATCCCCACATTGCTGCCTGCTGGCTGGCCAGTCTTCAGCCTGCAGTGCCTTTACCAGGGTTGTTAAGGATCAATAAGGCCCACTCATCCAAGCTACTCTAATGACGCCTCCTGTGGGGGGTATCATGAGAATTAAGGATTTGAAGGACATGAATTGAAAGCAAAAACAGAGGAATGTCCATTAGCAGTCTGGCGTTATAGACGGGAAAACCCCAAGATGCAAACACAGAGAATAGTTGCAAATGGACCATTATGTTTGTCTCATAAACTAACATCATAATAATCACGTAGATTCCCTCCTAAAAATGTAGGCGCAGCCAAAACCACATGATGGGTGAGATGACATCACTGTGTACCTAATCTTGGTCTTTTTTCTAAGGGCTACAGTTGGCGGATTTGGTGGTGTTAGTCACAAAGAAAGGAACCACCTTGCAGACGTAGTATTAGATTAGTCTAATCTAGGCGAAATCTGCTTATTTGGGCTAAGAGGATTTTAAGGACTCAGAGACAATAGCCTAAAGCTTTACAGTACAGAAAGGCGAGCCAAGAGATGAAACATCTCAGTATGAGGTGGCTTATGTTTAGAAGGACAATGAAAAGAACATCCACTGAAAGGAAAGTTTGGCTATCTCTCTTTTCCAGAACACACTGAATGCTTACCCCTGCGGCTCGGACCACACCCCTAGTCCAATGGCCAGTTGGGAGCCGGTGGAAGCTGAGGCGGTGTGGGACAGCCCGTCTGCTCGTCTGACTGCCGTGGCGGTCAGCGTGAGGGAGGGGCACTCTATTGCTTTTCTGGGAGACTCCAAAGGAAATTTGCACAAGGTAATTTATATTGTGAAATTACAAAGCACATTCACTTTATTACTTCCAAAGGTGGTCCAGACACCTGGTTGTTTTTGTGTTGTAGTTATAGTGTGGTATAGTGTAGTTTAGTATTGATATCGTTCCCTGTTTATTTCCAGCATGTTTATGCAAGACCTAGATCATGTTTTTATACTTAAGCTGTAGTGAATGCTATTAGAGGTATAACAATGCATCATGACACGAATATGTGACAATACACATAGAGATGAGCGAAATCAGTTTCATTCTATTAACCCTATCAAACTGAGCATGTTGCCGGTAGCCAATTCTCAGTATCGGTATGTCCAAATCCAAGCTGCGTATAAGTGTGCAAGTGTGTGTCTATTACTGTATAAATGATGCACCAGGTGTCCTTTATTGTTGGATGTACTGTGATTATTTCCAAGCTTATTTGGAGCGCAGTTTGGATCGCTAGGTACTTATCATTATTTTGTATAATCAGAGTAACAGTAAAATGCATTTGATATGTGACTTCGATTCTGCTTCATGTGTTTTCTTGTCGAAAAAGAAAAAAAGAGTTTTTGGTTTTGTTCTTTTACATAAGAAATGAATATGATATCAGCACTGAGAAATCAAATGATTAACTGAGAACAGTGTATTAAATAAGGAAAATTGCCACTTTTTTTTGCGTAAGCCTTAAAGGGTTAATTATACCATCTAACGCAGTTTAGCATCAAAGGTCACAATCAACTTAACCCACATCATTACATTACATTCTCATATTAGCCCACACCAGCATGTTCAATATTATATGATTGATTGAACCTTTTAAGAGTAGTGCAAAAAAGTCATTCTGCTCTACTCCGTATAATACTGTGATTTCTCTATGCCTTTGTTGCCTTTATTTGATATATAAAGAACACTTTCATTGAGTTTTTTATTTTGTTTGTGTCAAAAACTACCTTTATTAGCAAGTAAACTTATAAAGAGGAATATAACTACACACTTTACGTACTGTTACTCAAAACAATCAGTAATCAGCCCTTATCGATCAAAACTGCAAATCTGAATGTGTTAGTGCTCCCGCTTGGAACGAGTTAACGTTCTTTTATAAAGTGATAGAAAACACAGTAGCACTCAGAAAGCTCCTGTTCCACTTTCTCACACATTTTACTACAACCAGTGTAGATAATGCACATGTTGTAACTACTCTGACAGCTGTTAACGACAGATTTTAACGAGTTAAAGGGGACTTTAAGGGAAAGGGGAGAATCTGTTGCAGTTGAGAGGTTCACCCACACCAGCACATTCTGTATCATACTCTCACTAATAGAGCGATTAATCCAAAAGTAATCAAAACCAACATTCAGAACCTCTAACTGACGTAAACTTGCCCATGTCGGTTATTTTGATTTTTTTTATTCTGTTAATGCTTTCCCCACTCTGTGTGTTCATGAACTGTCCCCTTAAAAACTTACTACCGCGCGTGTCGTCACTTCACTCTGCCACGTCCAGTCTGCGACATGGAAGCTAAGGCTACGTTCACACAGCAGGTAAAAGTGGCCCAAATCTGATTTTCTCACCAAATCAGATTTTTTTGTTTGGCTGTTCAGATTATCTTTTAAATGTGATCTGTATCATCAGTCTGAACAGATCAGCTCCTAAACTGACCCACATGCACAAAAGAACAGAGCGTCACGCTGCTTCACGGCTCATCCAGATGTAAACAATCACGACCGCCACCGAACGCCAGTCGCTCCCGGAGGATCAGCTTCATCTTCACCAGCATCACAGGAGCCATCATGAAGCTTCACTGACTGACAGCTGGGCTCATCACCTAGAATGTGTTCGAGCCGTAAAAAGGGCGTGGTCACTTCTTTCGTTCGCGTCCTCGGATTCTTTAAACTCTGCTTTCAGACTTTTAACTGTTCTTTGACGCTGCAGCCTCGTTCTCCTGCGGCCGCATTCAGACATTTCTTTCGAAATCTCTTGAAACACAGAGGGTTTTGAATCAGTTTCTTCTAATTATTGTACAGAAATATCAACGTTTATTAGGTCTCAGCAGCGCAAAATTATAACGAATGTCGAGTTTGACGTAAAAGTCATGAATTCCGACCTGACGGATTACATTACAGTACAAACCTTGTCAGTTAACTATGAGGGCAAAAAAAACAAACAAAAAAACACAAAATAATTGTTCCTTTTTATCGTAAAACATTAATTAATCGTGATATTAATTTGAGGTCATATCGCCCAGGACTACTCACTAACATATTCGTATTGTACGTGACACTCTCAGCTCCAGGCTTATTAGTAGGTTTCACAGTGACATGGATGCGGTTAACATTTTTCTTCATTCAAAACTTTGTTCATGAGAATCTTAAACCCAGTTTTGTGATTCAGATTGTAAGCTGAGTGTATTGTTTCACATCTACTTGCCATGCTTCTGATTTAGTCCATGGTTTCATAATCCAATTTGGCAACTGCAGCATTTGGTCCCAAAGGCCTACGACCTGTGGATTTCTCAGTTTCCGGATTAAGGACTCTGCAGTCTTTCTCCACAACTTAGGTAATAAACTTGACCTTAGGCATTCTGATCATGCAGCTTCGTGTCAGCTTGAGGTGTTAACCTTGCAGTTCATTCTTTCCTAAGCCCTGAGTCGGTCTTAGATCAAAGCTCTGTGTTCAGTTAAGCAGAAGTTTTCTATTATACCCAGCTTAAGACATCACAGTAGGACAAATTCCAAAGCCGACAGGCGCACACTTACACACACAAATGTATACGCTGTATGTCCAAAGGTTTGCAGACACATGTTCATTCAGTATATCTTCTCAAATCAGCGGTATTAATAGAGAGTTTGCCCCACCCCACCCCATGATGGAACATTGCTGTGAGAATTCGATTGCATTTGGTCACAAGAGCATTAGTGAGGTCAGGTACTGATGTTTGATGATTAGTTCTGGATCACAAACCCTTTGTGGTTGGAAAAGGCTTTAAACCCCTCTAGGGTATAAACGCTTGGCACTGGACATGGCGCAGCTGTCCCAGTGCCCCATTCCACTGGCAATGCTTTTATAAGGTGTATGTGCGCAATAGATACTTTAAAGTAGACACCTAAAAAGGGTATCTGAATACTTTTGGAAATATTGTGTACACACACTTTACAGTACTGTGAAAAAAGTCAGAGACATGCTATTTTGATTTGTTTAATTTCTTATCAAAGCGGCAATTACGTACTGTAAGGGCCCAGCCTGTGAGGCACCACAAGTTCAGGGAACTTCAATTCCCAGAAGCCCTTGGGCTGATTAGGCCCAACCTGGCACACCTGTGGACTCCTCTACTTAAGGCAGTGGCAAACAGCAGCCCTTTGTCACACCTTTGTAGAGGGGTGACCAGTACGGTACTTAGCCCAGGTGGGTATTTAAACAAAAAGAAAAGAAAAGAGGGCTGGAAAAACAAAAGAGAGAAGTTGCCCCAAAACTACTTAAAAGCCAAAAAGAAGGCTTGAACAAGAAACAACTCCAAGCCAAACAAAGAGTGTTTGCTCCACAAAAGGCAACTAGGTGAAACATGAGTTTTTGTTTTCTGATTATCTTTTATTTCACTTTTCTATCTCAGCCTTTGTTCGAGCAGACCGCTTTCAGCGTCCCCTTGGTTTGCTTTTTTCCTGCTGTTTTTTTAATTTCCTATTCGTTGAGGTGTTTCTCCTGTTTTCAATCAGTACATCAGCGGTTCGAGTCTGGCACTGAGCCACCTCAACTCCAACATGCACAATCACCAAATTCACACTCCATCACCTCAATAAATTCATTCAAAGACGGGTTTTCCTCTCTGCACTTGGGTCCGCCTCCCTGCCGTCCGTAACAGTACAGGTGATTCATTTTTCAGAAGATATTTCTGAGGAAATTAGATAGGAGAGAATCCACTTGCATAAGAAAGGTGAAAGTCTAAGGAAAATCAGGAGTTTCTAAGGTGGGGTTCAAAAAATTGTTAAAAGATAGAGAAAATGGAACTCATAACAGCCATGCAAGACATAATAGATCACGAAAAACTGTCACCATCAGATTAACAGTACTTAAAGCTTTCATCTTTGAGAGATAAGGGAAAATCAAGCTACACTGTTGCTTCAGATTAAAAAAAAATCCTCAGGGAGTTTCTGTCTGTCCTGCCACTGTGGGAGGACAGCTCAGTGCAGTGGCTCTGAAAGCATGTATAGCTGTCAAGAAGACATTGAGAAAAGTAAGTAGATGGAAAATTTGCAAATCAGAGAAGCTGCTGGTGTTTTCAAAGCCTTGCCCTGGCCACCTCAGAGCCCAGCCCTCAACATCGCTGAATGTGTTTGGGATCACTTGGATTGAGAGAAACAGGAAATGCAACCGACTTCTAAGACTAAACTTTACAGGTGTGGACAAATTTTCCTGCTGATGTCTTTAAAAAACTCAAAGCAAGTTTCCTGAAAAGAATCAAAGCTGTAATAAAGAAAAAGAATGGACACACTAAATATGACAAATTTTGATATTATATTTATTTGTTGGTCAGCCCAACAAACCATGGACAAACACACCTATATTCTTAGTCAGTCTTAAACATTTACACTTGAACTGTGCGTGATTCTGCTGCTAAGCTACAGTAGCTGGCAGCTAGTCGATGCTAATCCAGTTAAAGCTGCCTAACCTGAGTGTGTGAGGGCCTGTGCGGCTCTTAGGCTGAGGTGTCCGACACTCTTAGCTATGTCACCTGCTTTGCTGATGGGCTTCTCGAGCCTGTAATCTCATTTCCTGAAATCTACTCCACTCGTGATATGATTCGAGAGGCATTAAGTACCTTTCACGGATGTATTCTGTTGCTCACATTTTCTCCAGACTCTGGCTCGTACAGTCTACTCTGCAGACTCTATCATGTCTACAAGCCCACAGAACACTTTGTGTAGTTCCCAGAGATTTTATGTTGCATGTGATGCACTTGTGTGTACTTAGGGAGGCTGTTGAGGAACTGTAATTTCTTTTTTAATATTTTGGCTTCAGGGTTGGATTACATCTTGAAATCTGACTGGCTCTTGAAGTGCTTTCTAGGCTTTTATTCAGACTAATTTTGTGAATGATTGTGCTGCTGTCTGCCACATTTTAGGTGTTCCTGGGGAGATCAGAAGTGAAGAGTTACTCCACTCTTTCCATCCAGCCTGGCTCACCTATTGGCAGAGACCTGCTGCTGGATTCTTCGGAGAAACACCTGTACATTATGACCAGCAATACTGTGAGTTTTTTAGCCAAACACAGCTGAAGATAAAAATCAATTAAGGCCTGCTTTTTGATATCAGGAAAAATTCTGCTGATTAAGCACCAAAATTTGTGATCATGGTTAGGACAAGTGTGTCTGTGGCGGCCGCAAAAAAACTCCAAGCAGGGACAAAGCTCGGCGAGTCCCAAGCCCCCCCTCCCAGACGCCGCCTCCAGTCCGGCAGTGAGGCCACTTTAACTTGCCTCATGTTCGATCCAGGCGGCCAAGCTTCCGAACAGGGGTGGTGACGGGGAGGCGGAGCATCGAGCTCTCGTTCCCTCATCGCTCAGGTGCTCACACTACTCTTAATGAGAACCGGTTGATGCTGATCTGGCTGGCAGCATAAGCGCCTTTTAAAAAAGCGGAGAAGGAACGGAGAGAGAGGGACGAGCAGCGGCCGCCATGCTTTAATGTTCACTCACCAAACAACACAAACTCAAACAAACCCAAGCAAAGCTAGACACTTTTCAGTGGCTTCAGAACTACAGACTTTTCTGTCCTTCTCTTCACTCAAGCTTCTCAGCTCTTCACTGTCTCTGCTGCTGCTGCCTTCCTGCTGACTCTCACGGCCACCATCGGGGCCCAGGGAACGGGCACACGCCTCAGTGTCCTAATTAAAAAATCTTTCTTTGTAAAGAATTGATGAAAAACGAGGTAATTAACTGAAAAGGCTTAGTTTCAGCTAAATGAGTTTAAAGAATGCGAGGACTGACAATCACAGCAGTGTGGTCTGAGTGGATCAGACACAGCAGTGCTCCTGGACTTATTAAACAAATCAGTGTCGCTGCTGAGAATAGTCCACCAACCAAAAATATCCAGCCAACAGTGTCCTGTGGGCAGCGTCCTGTGACCACTGATGAAGGACTAGAGGATGACCAACACAAACTGTGCAGCAGCAGATGAGCTATCGTCTCTGACTTTACATCTATAAGGTGGACTGACAAGGTAGGAGTGTCTAATAGAGTGGACAGTGAGTGGACACAGTGTTTAAAAACTCCAGCAGCACTGCTGTGTCTGATCCACTCGTACCAGCACAACACACACTAACACACCATCATCACGTCAGTGTCACTGCAGTGCTGAGAATGATCCACCACCCAAATAATACCTGCTCAGTGAGGGTCCGTGGGGGTCCTGACCACTGAAAACAGGGTGAAAAGGGACTAACACAGTCTGCACCTACATGGTATGTGGAGGTCATAAAATGGAGAGAGTGTAAAAGCAATGAGTTGTACTTAATGAAGTATCCAGTCACTGTATAATGTAATGGGTACTAAAGCGCTGGAGTCAGTTAGAACTGTGCTTTATTTTACTTGTATCATTGTCTGTGTGTGTTGTGTCTGTGATAACGCAGGTCGAGAAACGGCCTGTAGCAGAGTGTGAGAGACACACAGACTGTCAGTCCTGTCTTGCAGCCCGTGATCCTTACTGTGGCTGGTGTGTCCTCGAGGGCAAGTAAGTGTCATTAGTCAATTCAATACAGCAAAATGATAAAAATACCTTTTTTTTATTGTGTTTTGCTTTTGAGTTCAACGATTCTTTTTCTTTCTCCGCCACTGATCTTTACGTTCATCTTCTACGTCCTCGGTTTTGTCTCATAGGTGTGGAGTGCGTTCCGACTGCAGGCGAGGCTCGGGTCAAGGCCACTGGCTGTGGAGTTTTGACAAGGAGCAGAAATGTTTGAGGGTGGAGTCACTGAGCCAGCACAACATCAGCATTGGAGAGCAGAAGAACGTAAGCAGATTTTAGGGGTGTAAAGATTTACAGAGAAATTATACACAAGTGAAAATATGAGTACAGCGTCAAAACCTGCATGAAGCAAAACTATACTTGAGTGAAGGTCAAAAAGAATCAACATTTAAACATTCTGAAGCATGTAAAAGTAAAAAGCTTTTTAAAAATGACAGGTTTAAGTGGTATGTGATTTGGCAACGTGTGGTATGTCTACTAAACAGCTGTACTGGTCCTCGCACAAAAATAAATTAGCATTGTTATAGTGACATGAATTTAGCTGAATATTTCAATAAAAACAATATATTCAAATGCACAGAAATTAGCAAATGAAAAATAGAAAAATCTGGCCTTTGAGATTTATAACAGGTCCTTTAATCAAATTAAAATGTACAGTCATATGCAAAAGTGTGGGCACCCCTGCTCAAATTACGTTATGTTTTGTTGATTTTTTTTTAAGTGAACATAAGTTTACGCATCCTCTACAGAGAACACACTTCTGCACATTTTAAATGCACAATTATTTTTATTTGCTGAATTTAACATATTTAAATGTCTTTTTTATATTTTATAATTTTATACTGTTTTATTTTTTCTTATGTTAAACTATGTTTCTATACTTTAAATAGAAATTGTGCACTAAAATAAGCAAAAACATGCTGTATTTACATCTGTCCCCTTTAGAGGGCGTGTTTACTTAATTTTACTTAGAAAATCAACAAAACATGCCATTTGATGGAGGTGTTCAAAGCTTCGCATATGACTGTAAAGAGTATTTAGTAAGTATATAGTTTTAGTAATACTTGGCTTCTCATGGTATGGTATGGTACGGTATAGTATAGTATATTATACTAAGTATAGTAACAAACCACAATTGCTAAAGTATTTTCTGTCGCTGTCATGCAGATGTTTTAGTGTCTGTGTATGATCAGCATGCATATTAATGAATTAATTATAATGAAATTGCATTTTAAATGAATTTCTATAAAAATGAATAGATATTCCTGTAATATTCTAAATAATAACAAATTATGACTCCCAAAATTTGATAAAATCCCTCTCTACATGTAGAGGCCTTGAGAGCATCGAGGCTATTTTAGCATAGCTAGAAAATGGTCACTAGCCTAGTTGGTTAAAGTAGCCTTAACCAGTAGCTAATATTGCTAAATAATAGCAATATACCACTAGGTCAGACACTGAGAACTGTATTTGTTTATGTAGGTAACCAATAAAAACAATATAGGAATGTGAACATTTACTGTGTGAGCTAATTAAAACATCTTTAAATGAAAGTCTTGCCAGGAATTTTCAGACAAAATTATAGACTAAAAACAATGGAAAAAATGCCAGAAGTTGAGGTTGTACCCTTTGAAAAAAAATTATGAAGACCACTGGTTTATATTATGTTATAAGCAGTAAGATAACATTAAGATGCTCAAATCTTGGCCTTCAGACATCAAAATACTAATATAGTCATTTTTTGACTATACAATATAATATACACTCTTGCTGTCCTTGCAGGTGGCTCTGGAAGTGCCAGGCTTGCCCAGCCTCTCTGATGGGGAGGAATACTCCTGTTTCTTTCAGGAAACACAGAGTACTGCTACTGTTAATGCCACTACAGTCACTTGCTCCACTCCTCCAGCCCACAAGGTTCCTACTGTGCCTCGCGGACAGGGTAGGACACTCAAGCTTCACCTTATCTGGTGGAATAGTTCCTCCCTAACAATTTTAGAACCTTCTGTTTGGTTGCATTTGGCACTAAGGGCTGTGTGGGAAATGGCAAGAACTGCATTTTAAAAGAGCTGGAACACTGTGCAGTATTAGTGTTATAAGAATATAGGATAAGTATGCATTTGATTATTGTTGACTTGTGATTGTAAAGCTATTTTAGTAAGCTATTAATACGTTATTACATCAATTAAGACTTCTCAGTTTTAACCTTTTGTGTCTTATTTCCAGTCTGCTCATTTGGCTGTTTCCCAAGTTGGGTTGAATTTACTTAGTCATTCCTACCCAAGAATTCCCACATTTAGTTCCTGTGTCCCAAACTTTGTGGTTTGTGGTCTACTAAAGGAAGTCTCTCTTTGGGGTTTCCCTCAGTTGTTTTCCCAGAGAAATAATCCACTGAGATTGGACTTTGTTAACATAATGGTACACGATGGTAACATAGTGCTCCTCGTGGAACAGTTTAGTCACCAGCTTTATCTTTGTCTTGCAATGATTCACCACAGCTTAGTTCTGTGCAGAGTGACGAATTCTTAATGACTGACATGTTTTACTAGTTGTTTGTCTCTTGTGACAGATTCTTTGACAGTCACTCTGTCTCTACGCTTCCTGAATGTAACTGTGGCAGTTCAGGAGTTCACCTTCTATGACTGCTCGCTTGTGCAGCAGCTTTCAGGCACCATGCCGTAAGTACCTCACTCATCCTGGTACACTCTAGGCCAGATTCATAAAATTCAGCAGAAACGGTCCATAAATGTTCAAGTTATTGTTATTTTAGTTTTTTACCACAGCGTATGAATTGAAATCAATTAATAAATATGAGCTCAAAGTGCAGACGTTCAGCTTTAATTTGAGGGTATTTACATCCAAATCGGGTGAACATTAGAACCTTTTTTGGGGTCTCAAAAGTAATTGTACAGTTGGCCAATCAGCTGTTTCATGGCTAAGCGTGTGATATAGTTAAGTTAAGTGACCCTTATTAGTCCCACAACAGGGAAATTTCACATTTTGACCCATCTGTGTAGTGAAACACCACATACACACTAGTGAACACACACACTAGGGGGCAGTGCGCACACTTCCTGGAGCGGTGGGCAGCCCTATCCACGGTGCCCGGGGAGCAGTTGGGGGTTAGGTGCCTTGCTTAAGGGCACATCAGTCACATACTGTCGGCTCAGGGGGTCAAGTGCTGGTTCCCTAACCTCCAGCCCACGACTGCCCCCTGACTATGATGAATATCCTCTGATTATTTCACTTACAGCCAAGCAGATTAAAATTCTAGAGTTTATTTCAAGTGAGTTTTCAATTTCTTGCTTCTCTCATTATGAACCAGAAGACATAAACCATCTGTAAGCTTTAAAAAAACAGAATGACCAGATTAGTTTGCCAAATATATTTTTAAAAAGGCTGTACAGTTCTGGAACAACATCTTATGGACAGATGAGAGAAAGATCAGCTTGTACCAGAATGATGGGAAGAGAAGAGTTTGGAGAGGGGAAGAAACTTCATGATCCAAAGGTAGTGTTAGGTAGTGTTAAGGTGTGGTTATGGCTGCCAAAGGAACTGTTGCCTTGTATATATTGATGATGTGACTGCTGACAAATGCAGCAAGAAGTGATTATCTGCTCAGATTCAGTCAGATGCTTCAAAACTTTAAAACTTGGGCGGTGCCTCAAAGTGCCTATGGACAGTAACCCAAAGGATACTGTGAAGGTAACCCAAGACTCTTTACAAGGCAAAGAGGTGAAATGTTCTGCAATGGCCAAGTCAGTCGCCTGAGCTCAATCCAATCAAGCATGTATTTCACTTACTGAAGGCTCAGCTGAAGGTGAAATGCCCCAAGAACAAGCGGGAACTGAAGCCAACTGCTGTAAGGACCTGGTAGAGCATGACCAGAGAAGAAACTCAGTGTCTGGTGGTGTCTTTGGGTTCCAAGTCAAGTCAAGTCAAGTCAAGTCAAAGTTTACTTATATAGTGCTTTTTACAACAGGTGTTGTCACAAAGCAGCTTTACAGAAAAATCCGGGTCTGAGCCCCCATGAGCGTCACCAATGGCGACAGTGGCCAGGAAAAACCCCCTAAGAGCAAGAGGAAGAAACACTGAGAGGATCCTCAAGGACTCAAAAGGGGAACCCATCCTCCTCTGGACCACACCGGATAGCACACAGCATTAGAATGAAATATTAGAATACAAAACAGGGAAAAACAGGTGGAGCAACGGTTAATTAGCTAATTAGAGTTTATGCAGCAGCAGCAGGAGGGTCAGTACATTCAGGTGAGATATGCACAGCTTTGCACAGCTTTGTACAGCGTGAAGCTCCATGGTGGTCAAACTGGTGCAGATCAGCTGGAGATGGAGCTCTGGTGACTCTAGCAGCTCTGGTGGCTCCCATGTGGCGACTCAGGCAAACGTCACTCAGGGGCTCAAATGAAGGGAGGGAGAGAGTCCCGAACAGAGGTTCCAGACTTCAGACAGTCATTGACTGTGAAGGATTTACAACCAAGTTCTTCGTCCACTGTTCGTCCACTTTTTGTCTATTAGCTTGTTACTTTTCAGCCATTTTGGGTTTAGGGGCTTTTGGGGTTGGCATGAAAATGGTGGTATTTTCACTGGATTTAGATGTAAATACCCTGAAATTAAAGCTGAAAGTGCACATTGAGCTCATATTCATTATTTAATTAAAGCTCCAATATGCTGTGGTAGACAGCTAAAATAACAATAACTTCGTCTACAACAAAATATTGTTAAATATGGACTTTATTGTTATGTGTGTCCCAGGAAAAAGCCAGTGAATATCTGCATGATAATGAGGTAACACACATAAATGACCACCGTTCAGCAAAGGCTTGTTTGGGTGCATAAATGGTTGTGCTCAGAATCTCAGAATCAGAGCAATGGCTTCTAAGAAAAGAAATGGAAATACTGGTTGGTAAAATTGCAGCAACAATTAAATAAAATATTTAGTAAACCAAACATATCAAGAATTGTTAGTTGTAGTTATTATTTATCATAAATTAATTTTTTTATTGAACATTGGTGCGTTTCATCACCTATTTTGATAATTTGAATTTGTGCATCAGGAGACCGACCATAAGACTTAGAAAATTAAATAAATCAAATTGGAGAAAAAGCATTAGACATAACTAGTGATTAAAAAGATCAATTCAACAAAAATAAATTAATAGAGCACAACATGTCGTAGCCCGTAGACTGGCTGGTTTTGGGTCCTTCAGTTTGGAAGCTTTTCAGGCTTGTATTATGGAAATAGTTAATAGAGCTAATGTACGTGAAATCACTTCATAGGGAGAAGAGACCATGTGTAGTTAGTAAGGTACTTTCGATATGTATTCTATTACGGAACTGTAATCAGTAATATAATCTTTACATTAAATCATAGTGAGCTTTCTATACCATATCAGTAATGTCCTCTGATAACTCTCCATTTGCTGCTATTCAAATCATTTTCCATTTAAGGACCATACATTTAAGTACTAAATGAATTGCTGATTGTATTTCCAGTGAAAGCCTTTTTACCGGAGCTCATGTTTACTGTCAGTGTGTCACCTTTCATTCTTCTATTTGATTTTCCATCGTTTACATTTGCTGGAGTGTTGCAGAAAAGCTCACTGCTTGCGTGCTCCCCACCAGTGTTTTGTTCTCCAAAATCATTGCAATATATACACCGATCAGCCATAACATTATGACCACCTCCTTGTTTCTACGCTCATTGTCCATTTTATCAGCTCCACTTACTATATAGGTGCACTTTGTAGTTCTACAGTTACAGACTGTAGTCCATCTGTTTCTCTGATACTTTGTTAGCCCCCTTTTACCCTGTTCTTCAGTGGTCAGGACCCCCATGGACCCTCACAGAGCAGCTACTATTTGGGTGGTGGATCATTCTCAGCACTGCAGTAACAATGACGTGGTGGTGGTGTGTTAGTGTGTGTTGCGCTGGTGCGAGTGGATCAGACACAGCAGTGCTGCTGGAGTTTTTAAACACCTCAGTGTTCCTGCTGGACTGAGAATAGTCCACCAACCAAAAATATCCAGCCAACAGCGTCCTGTGACCGTTTCTGACTTTACATCTTGACTTTACAGGTGGACTGACAATGTAGGTGTGTCTAATAGAGTGGACAGTGAGTGGACACAGTGTTTAAAAACTCCAGCAGCACTGCTGTGTCTGATCCACTCAGACCAGCGCAACACACACTAACACACCACCACCACCACGTCAGTGTTACTGCAGTGCTGAGAATGATCCACCACCCAAATAGTAGCTGCTCTGTGAGGGTCCATGGGGGTCCTGACCACTGAAGAACAGGGTAAAAGGGGGCTAACAAAGTATCAGAGAAACAGATGGACTACAGTCTGTAACTGTAGAACTACAAAGTGCACCTATATAGTAAGTGGAGCTGATAAAATGGACAATGAGCGTAGAAACAAGGAGGTGGTCAGAATGTTATGTCTGATCAGTGTATATAGGTTTAAATCTTGAGCGTTTGTAATCTTACGCTTTAGCTGGCTGGCTTGATTACATTCAACCTTTTCTCCGTTTGAGCTAATCCTGTTACACGTATTGCTTTGTGCTCAGAGAACTGCAGTCTCAGGGTTTTAGAGCTTCAGGAAAGTGAGAGAGTGTAAGAGCATCTGGCACAGTCCCGTCTCAGTGACAGATGTCTCTCTGATGATGTAGCAGCTGCTTCTTACATTCCTCCTCATGATGAAACCATGAAGGTGAATGATAGTTCCCAGTAGACGTATACCAGTGCCTCAGATCGCGCTTGTGTTGCTTTTGATTTGGCCGTTGACTGGAAAGTTATAGGTATACGAAAGTGTAAGCTATTAAAAGTATTTAATTCATATTTATATTGCTGTTGTCGGATTAAAACCTTGTATCTCCAAAATGAGAACTCTATAGGAGAAGGAAAAGACATGCTCTACTTTTAATGTAAGTCAGTGGAACCAGACTTTTTTGCAAGTAGTTTTGGGTTGTTTCTTTTGGTCTATTCATCATGAAATTTACACACAATGTAAAAAGTAACAGGCGTTTTCAAAATATGTCAAAAACTGAAAAATGACAAAAAATTGAGATACAAGGTTTGGTTCTGACAGCAGTGATATGCTTGATCAAAGTGGTAGTTTGTGGGACATATTAAATAAATCTAAGAATATCAATTCATTTGATAATGTTCTTTAGATGTCAAAATAAATGCAACAACGGCATGGAGAAACCAATAACCTTTTTCAACTCCTTGAGACCACCGGTGGTTCCAAAACGCACTTCGTCATATTCTTCATAACTTATATATTTCATAAGCTACATTCTAAAGGTGGGGGTCGTATGAGAGCTGTAACTGTCTTCTTTCCAGTCAAATAGATGGGTGATGTAATTTTAAACCCTTATAATAGAAGAAACCCATTTTTCCACAAATCTGGGCTATAAACTATAAATGGCGTCTCTTCAGTGATCTGCTCTGTAAAAATAATTTTTATAAAATAATACAAAGAGCGTCTAAGATTTTTGGCTTTCAGCAGTGATTTGTAAGCAAATAGCGATATGTGTATGATCATAAAACACATTTTCTGTTAATTTGAGGGAACTTTTACAAAAAATTAATAAATAAAATAAAAATGTACATTTATTTCATGCAGTTACTGAATAAATATACCCTGGTCAATAAGAGGTTAAGAGGTAGATGAATTAAAATGATGCACTGTTAGTGCAGTGTGATAGAAGAAAGTGCTGCCATTTGAACCCTAACGCCGACCAGATAAGTGGACAGAGCAGGTCGGTTTATTTGATGTGTGAATGAACTATGGGCCTGACAGAGAAATAAACCCTCCTCTTTTCTCTGCAGACCTTCTTTATTATGTTCAGCAGATAATTTCTGAAACTGCTTTCATATGTAAACATGTTTTATCACCTTCAGGAGCTCTGAATTGGTATTTATAGAACAGATTAAACAAGAATGAGGTACATTCTGCACCATTTTAAAATGCTTTATATATTCTTTAGGTTATTCTACTGAACTGGTTTAAAGAGTTCGAAACATTTCAGACTTTAACTGACTTGGAGTTTAGACTTGAGCATAACTCAAAACCGCTAGCCAGCATCCAGCTAGCAAACACCACTTTGAACAGTTAAACATGCATAAAATCATAATATTTGTCATGAAAACACAAAAACGTTTACTTAATTGCAGAAAATGTGTTTTGGTAGTGACAGTTCTTAAGGTTACACAGTCATTTTCAGACTTTGGGACACAATTTACTTCAAAACAAAGGGACCTAACTGCTCACCATGTGGCCATGAGAGACAAGAATGCAGCCTCACTTCCTGCTCTAAAATGAGGGGTGTGGTTAACATAAGGCTCCACCTATGTATTAATATTCTTTGTGTTTTGGTAGTGACAACGTGGGACAGCTTTTTTGGAATTAAACATTATTATTTTTAAAAATTACACTCATGATAAATCAAAATCGTTCAACTTTAAAAGATATCAAAAAGTTTTAAAAAAGAACATTGGAAAAAAAACAGTTAAGTATGATTTTCACAAGTTGAAATTAAGGGGTTGATGTTTGGGACAAACTCCCAATAGAAAGTAACCTATAAATGATGATTTTGTATATATTTAGCTTTTTACTATCTTAATGTCTTGGTTTTAATGGATAACAACAAAATCTCTAAATATGTAAGGTCTGAATACTTCGTTGTTTTTATGTTTTTTTATTATGGTCATTTTAATGTTCATTATTTTATTTTTGGGGTTTACTAGAATATATTTCCATGCACCAGTGTTCCAAAATCACATTATTTTTCTCGTATTCACCTTCAGTGAATGAGTTTAAGCCTGAGTCTGATCCTGAAAGTCAGGTCAGCATCTTCTCAACATGGCTACAAAACTGAACACACTCTTCCTGGCCTCCAGTAGTCGCTGTGCGTTGTGTGAGGGTGTGCCGAGCTCACCATTAGGCGGGCAGTAAGGACTGTTACGAGATTGTGTTGTGTTACAAGATTTCCTCATCTTGTAACAAAGAAAAAGCGCTGGAATATCAACAAGATGCTTCAGGCAGCTGAGAAAAGTGGTTTCTGTGGGTAGAGAGTTAGACCCTCTGGCATGTACTTTGTCACTCTGTGGACCATTTACATGCACAAAAAGCTATTTAACACACTGAAGAGAAGAGGAAAACCGGAAAAGCATAATAGGTTCCCTTTAAGTATTTGTTTTACTGAGGAACTGCAGTTAGTAATTTGGTAAAAAGGTCTATATACACACCACACACACACATCAGGTATATCATATATTAATACAGTTTTCAGCATTTTATAAAACCAGTAAGTGGCTAAAGGGCAGTTTGTTACATTAAATTTACTGGACTTTGGTACACGGTAAAGCACGGCCTCCCATGGCAGATTAATTTAGAGTAAGGCGCACATAGAATCCATAAGCCCAGTTAGGCTGGAGTACAGTATGGTTAACCCTTGTGTGGTGCTGATGTGTTTGTTACTCAGTGGTCTGCTGGACCCACCGCATTATTGTTTATTAAATCAATACAGCCATAACAATTTATGTAAAAATACCAGATGTTTAAAATATCACAAGTGTCCAGCGTAGGGTTCTCCTTTAGCAACTGTAGCCAGTCAGCAGCCTGTCCATGTTGTCCACCCTCACACACACACACACACACTAACAGCAGGCCATGTAGGAGGAGAACAGAGTGAAGGACACAGCATCTCCACACTTTTACTCCCTGCAGGTTCACCCAACACCATGTGTAATATAAATGTGTGGGGGTTGAACAGAGTGAAGATACTGAAAATGGGTTATTTTATATGTTCTTAACTGAAAACGAGCAGAAACCAAGAATCTGAGGTCGAAATAAAAATAAATCATCATTTTTTCTTTTGGTGACCACTGAAAATGGGTCTCACAGACCTGAACACCACACAAGGGTTAAAAACTGTTTGTTGGATTTTATTGCAGTTTTTGTCACCAGATGTACATCCTAAAATGTTCCCAATCCGTTGTGATTTTTTTACCTGTGTGACTTTTGTTTGAATGTCAAATATGTCTGTGGGAACTTAAACTAAGATGCAGCGTTTAAATTCTCTTTATTTTCTTTCTTTGACATTCAAAAGTGTAAAAACAGCCGAAACAGCTGCTTTTTGCCTCAACATTAAAGCATTAACAGGAGGCATTTTTCTCCTTTTTTCTCTTTTCAGATGTATAGGGTGTGTGAGTAGTCGCTGGAGGTGTAACTGGTGCATCCATCAGCACATGTGCACACACCAGGCCGTGTGTGACCGAGGGGTGATCATATATAACCAGCATGTAAGTGTGACCAGGGCCCAACAAAAGAGCATCAGGGGGTGGTAAACATTGTGTGTTTCATTAAAATTAGCATAGTCCGCTGTAGCAGAACTGTAGGGCAGGTTAGCCTGAGATGTGCTAAGCATGTCTGTTAATTTGTACTGGCTTACTAAAACTAGCAGACTGCAGTAGAATACTAGTCTCATACATTTGCTTGTGTGTGTGCGTCAGTGTTACGTCCTCATCAATATTTTGCCGTTCTTTTAATTGTCTGCCAGAATTTGTGTGTCTGTCTGTTTACAATTATTTATTTTCTTTGCATATTTTTCATTAATTCCCTCCCATCTTCCTATTGTCCTCTCCCTATCCTCACTCTGACTGTACGTCCAGTTCAAACTACCAGCTTCGACTCCCACAACAACAAGTGACTTTAGTAAGTTCACGTCAGCTATGCCCATACATCCTACCATGGCACCACACAAAGAATCCATGCCAACCACAGCTGTAGCCATGAGTGCTCTTCCGGTGGCCCCTCCCTTCACTCCAGAGCCAGCTGTAATCCCTTCAACAACCATGGGAACTACACCCCCCCTCAACCTGCCCACCACATTCCAGCATACCATGCCTTCCTCAACCCAACAGGCTCCAACCACAGTGGCAGGGGCCGACACTCTGCTTAAAGACAGCATAGCAGGTGGGAAGGAGGCACATGTGGGTTTGCTGTCAACACCTGCTCCTGGTGGCCATAGTGAAGACACGGCTGATGTGTCCCATAAAGAGTCAGCTGTAGACTCGGTTACAGTTGCCGCCTCAACGGCCCTTTCTGGGGATGCGGGCGTAATGGGGCCACTGGGTGAAGCGCTCCCCCCCTCCTCTACTGCTGTAGTAACCCTTTGGTCAGAGGAGAATGACGACGGGGAAGCCTCTCTTGAGACCGGGCCTCCAGTGTCCTCAGCCTCCGCTCCATCTGGAGACGGCGAGGAAGGACCCATCTCAACTGATTTCTCGCACGTTCAAGATGTGAACTACCAGTCCGATCCAGCTGAGTTTTTCCTCCCGGTGAGTAAGAGTGGGAGGTGTACCGGAATACTGATTGTCCCATGGTGTGGATTTTACCATATCATAAGTACCAGCACGAACCCCAAAAAACAGTGAACCACAAATAGCCCAACACAAATTAAACCTGTTATAATTAAACAGTTTTTAAGTATTATCAACTAAAAACAAAATCCAATGCATAATATTAATATTTATACATGTAAAGCAACAATGGTCACATACTATTATAATCCTATGGGGAATAAACTTCCTTATTTTTCAGTTTTGTTGTGCTCTATTCGACAAAATGCTTATAAAATACATATATATACTGATCAGGCATAACATTATGACCACCTCCCTGTTTCTACACTCATTGTCCATTTTATCAGCTCCACTTACTATATAGGTGCACTTTGTAGTTCTACAGTTACAGACTGTAGTCCGTCTGTTTCTCTGATACTTTGTTAGCCCCCTTTTACCCTGTTCTTCAGTGGTCAGGACCCCCATGGACCCTCACAGAGCAGGTACTATTTGGGTGGCGGATCATTTTCAGCACTGCAGTAACACTGACGTGGTGGTGGTGTGTTAGTGTGTGTTGTGCTGGTCTGAGTGGATCAGACACAGCTGTGCTGCTGGAGTTTTTAAGCACTGTGTCCACTCGCTGTCCACTCTATTAGACACTCCTACCTTGTCAGTCCACCCTGTAGATGTAAAGTCAGAGACAATAGCTCATCTGCTGCTGCACAGTTTGTGTTGGTCATCCTCTAGTCCTTCATCAGTGGTCACAGGACGCGCTGCCCACAGGACGCTGTTGACCAGCACAACACACACTAACACACCACCACCACCTCAGTGTTACTGCAGTGCTGAGAATGATCCACCACCCAAATAGTACCTGCTCTGTGAGGGTCTATGGGGGTCCTGACCACTGAAGAACAGGGTAAAAGGGGGCTAACAAAGTATCAGAGAAACAGATGGACTACAGTCTGTAACTGTAGAACTACAAAGTGCACCTATATAGTAAGTGGAGCTGATAAAATGGACAATGAGCGTAGAAACAAAGAGGTGGTCATAATGTTATGCCTGATGGGTGTACAATTACTGTTTTATTTGCTGATTTTAACATACTGCAAAAAAAACATAATAGGGATCCTGTGCAAAAGTTTGGGTACTTTCATGTTTTATTTTTCCTTTTTCCAATATTTTCTTTTTTCAATATGCAGAAATTTGCAGAAATGCCATATTTAAGTTTATTCCCTGTAGAGAATGTGTTTATTATGTACATATTTTAACATAGAAAATCAACAAAACATGTAATGTGACCGAGAAGTTCAAACTTTTGCGTTCGACTGTAAATTTGAGTTCGTATCACTTGACGCTCTTGGACTGACCTTTCCTTTGGTTCATAAGTAATAATTTCCTTCATCTATTTGCTAATTCCTGCATTTCAGTTTAGGAAGATCATGTGTTTTTCCCTTTTCTCCATCTGTTTCTGTGTCCTTTTGTCCTCATTGAAAAACTCATCCAACACAACCTGACAAAAAATAGCTGTTTCTCAGTAAACGCTGAGTCTGCTATTTTTTGAGCAGCAGCTCATTTGTCTTTTGCTGTTATTAGGCTTGGTTTTTGTGATAGATACAGCTTAATGTAGACGGTCATATTTAAATGTGTGAAATGAAACTTCTTACGTTGCAAATGAAGTTCTGAAGTGCTTAGAGTGTGTAAGAAACAGGTGTGTTGCATTGTATGTGTGTGTTTGAAGCAGGGCGATGAGGATTCGCTGGTCAGTGGGGGGTCCTATGCCTGTCCATGTGTTGAAACTGTTCAGGGGTCTTCTCTCCTACCTGTTAATATTGAGAGGAAAATCACCCTGGTGGGACGCAACCTGCACCTGTATCAGGTAACATGAGAAACAAGCTTGTGTCATTGTTGCCACTTTTTGTTTGTCTGTTTTGTTTACTCTTCTCAGTATCTCAGTCCATCTTACCACAGATGGTCAACTGTTTTTGTTTTTATTTTGTGATCATCTTTTTATTGCATTTCTCACAAGAGGGAGGGTGGGAGCGCAGCAAGACGGTGGTAACGTACAGTGTTAGATGTACACACAGATCAAAGATGTACAAAAAGACCAAGGTGAAGACGATTATTACATAGTACAGTTGAAAACCAGAGACTGAAGAATTGATTTAATCATAAATTCTACTAATAGTTTACCAATACCAATGTAAGATATTACATACAAGCTGTTTTGGAAATTAGATATCCAGAACCTTATAAGTGAAAGCTAAAGGGTGATCCAAAGTTGTAAGACAGTTTTTTTTTTGGTGGCTGTAAAACCTGCCAGTACCATCTTGTGCTGAGTGAAGGAAAACTAAAGGTCTGAATCAGTGATGATGGAATATTGGCACCATTATAATCTGGATAACGGCCCGATCCCATTTCATCCCTGCACCCCTACTACTTAGCCCTTAGCCCTCGCTCACATCTAGGGGTAGGGTGTCCCGATTCTTGTTGAGATAGAGGGGGAGGGTGAAGTGTTAGGGCTACATGACCCTCCAAACAGAGGTTTTTCAGAGGCCAAACAGAGAGTTATGAGAAAAAAGGAAAAACTGCCAAGATGGCTGAACAAGAGACCAAAGAAACCCACAAATGTGAATTTTCTCTGTTAAAAAATTACTGTAGCCACTGTATTATCTTAGTTTAATGTCATTTCAGTGTATTATGGTCGTTTTCTTCATAACAAGCATAAAAAAAAATCTCTAAAAGCATGCTAATGTCTCGGTAGCTAGCTGAAGCGCCAGAATGTAACTGCTGCACCATTTAAGGTGGAACGGAAAAATTCGAACAAGAAGCTGGCGAATATCTGACTTCAGCTTCACATCACTGAAGAATTAGGGGGGGTGATAATAAATAATTGCCCCCCTCTTTGAAGGCATATGATTCCCTAAATGTAACTAAAGCCCAGCAGTGAGGAGCTGAACTTTACCCTCCTCTGCTGTCCCTGAAGACGGGCAGGGTCACCTACAGAGCAGCGCTGGTAGCTGTTAATGAAGTGATGTTTTTTTTATTTAAGGGTCCCATTTCGTAGGGCAAGATTTCACCCACTACCTCTTGTAACTCAGTTCCAAGGGGTTAGGGTGACACTCAAAAACAAGGGGTAGGGGTAAAAAGAAGAAATGGGACTGGGCCATAATGTCTACTGCAGTGGTCTGTACATCTACTACTTTGGGACGTTCCCAGAACATGTACATAAATGTACCAGGTGCACTGTTGCAGATGTTGCAGTTGCTGTTCAAGATGCACTTCATCTGGTACCTTGCATATGCTCTGTGAATTGTTTTATAGGGGACAAGCTGATGAGGCAGGATTTTTTAAGTTGGACTTAGATTTGACCAAGTAAACTGCTAAACTGTTTTTCATCTTTTGAATGCTAGCACATCAGGGGTAGAACTAGGGCAGTAATATTAATCATTATATATCGAAATTGCAATTTGAAAGAGCACAATTTACAAATTCCAAAAGCTGCAATTAGTATTACAAAACATGTAGGCTATACATGTATTATAATACGTAAAGCCAACATGCTTTAAGTGTGGAAATGTAACCTGATAACACAGAGCTTGTGAACTGCCTGTAGTTGCATTAGACCAATCAGAAGCAACTAAACACCCGCATGATGCCTACATGACCACACACCCACAACTAAACTGGCCATATGGCACACTACCTTAAGCCTCAAGCCAGAAAAAGTGGATATGTTGGTCATATTGGCCCATTAAGACAGGCCTGGACCTTATATCATTGCAAAAATCGCGATATTGGTCCAAAAAAAAACACAGATGATTTTCTGTTAGGATGGTTTCCAAAAATGGGATTTAAACCATTCAGTTCATTGCATGACACTGCAAGCCAGGCAGCACGCTCTAATCTGAATTTGATGCTGATTATCCTGTTTAATATAGCAGAAATATTTGTGGATCTTTTTAATCCGCAATAACACACAAACATCCTATGTCCTCACATGCCTGTTCAGATATGAGGCACCAGTAAGGTTTCCCCTAAAACACATGCCAGACTCGCTGCATCAGAGCAAACCTGGCTGATCTGTATCTGTATGTCTGTGTTTGGGCCTTAAGAGAGGATTCATAAAGATTTGAACCTTCGACTCTTCTGCTGTGTGTGTGCTCTCAGGATGAGGAGCTGGATTATGAGTGCGTGCTAGCCATCGAGGGCAGATCTGTGGTGGTAGCTGCATTCGTGGAGATGGATGATTCACAGTCCTCTTTGTTCTACATCACCTGCCAGCTGCACCAGGTTTTCCCTGTTTTTTTATACACATATACATTGAGTTGCCAGTTTAAGCATAAATGGGTCATTCTACAGAAACGTCTATTTTTGTGTCCCTAGCATTTACAGATATATTACACATGAAAACATGTTAGGGTTACAATTTCTTTATATTTTAAAATAAAACAATAAGTCATTTTAACAATTACACCTTCTTGAGCCTCAGTTTAGCAATATTGGTTTTTTTTAATCAATTGTCTATAATTCCAAGCACCACAGAAGAGCTCGTCCTCACAGTCGTGTGTGAAGGCTGAGGCCATATTTTGAAGAAAAAAATGTAACTACAATAATCTATACATGACTATGAAATATAGAAATTTAATAACAAAGGAGACAAATGCCGAATAAATATTATTAAAAATATAATGAAAGCTGTGGTCTCCAGGAGTCGTGTCACTGGTGTTACCACGGAACAAAAAATCTCTTATTTTGAAATAAAAGTCACACTGATGACATCACTTGACTTCCTTTTACCTGTTTTCTGAGGATCTATGAAGAAAAGCACATGGTGAGTCCACTGTGTCTTTCAGTTATCAGAGATTTTCTCATTTAGCTCATGATTTCATATGAAACTTTTAGCTGAAGTCACTGGTGTGACCTACTTTATTCTGGGGTAAGTGTGAAAAAATAGAATACAAATGGATTAAATTTCATATTTTAGTGGATATTCCATGATTGACAACATGTGGTTTGATGCTCTGTAGCAGCCGTTTAGTAAAATGCATTTTTCATCAAAATGTCACTGGTGTTACTTTTCTTATGTGGAACACCAATGAGGATCAGTAACACCAGTGGCTCCTATGGAGAGATAGAAAAGTGGACGTTTCTGTAGAATGACCCAAATATCTTATACCCAATGATCATTTTATCAGGTTCACCTACACTATCATTTAAAAGTTCGGAATTAATGTTTTCAAAAACATGAAATCATCGTTTCAGATAAATTTATTAAATTGAATTTGATATGCTACTTTTCACAGCTTTTAAATAATAAGCAGTGCACTAAGAAGCTGCAAGTAAAAAATAAATACATTTTAAATGTGTCCAGGATGATGAACAGAGCCATCAAAGATTCTAAAATGACTGAGGAAGTTAGTATAACATCGAGAATGAACTAAAAATATAAAATTCGTTTATTTCAAAGTGGTGATCAAATCAGAGGTGGTCCCCTTCCCCATCCATCAGTGTAAAAGGACCACCACAGCAAACCATCAATGACCAGACATTATTTACAAGGTGTATCATTCTCAGTACAGCACTGACCTTAACTTGGTAGTGGTACGTTAGTGTGTTGCACTGGTATGAGTGTATCTGGCACATCAGATGGGGATTGTACACACCTCAGTAAGGCTACGTTCACATTTCCAGGTTGAAGTGGCACAAATCCGATTTTTTGCCCTAATGTGACTCAGATCTGATGTTTTCGGGGCTGTGTGGACACAAATCTGATCTTTTCAAATCCGACCTGAGTCACTTTCATATGTGGTCCTAGATCAGATACGAATCCGATTCGTGGCTGTGCGACCTTAATGTGACGCTCAGATCAGAATTCATGTGCTTTTTTTCCCACTGCGCGTGCTCCATCATTCAGCGTTACCATGGCAGCAGCGCCGAACAGAAGTTAAAGCCTGTAAACGGTGGAAAAGCAGCTCATCTCACCTTTTTCTCCTTCGTCTCACTCTAATAATGAAGCTGAGAGCTGATCAGAGTTAATTATCTTCTCAGCGAAGCTCGTTCTGCTCGTTAGTTTGTGCTGATGATGAACGTGATTCATTCACGTGACGTTACTGAGTAGGATGAGCTCATGAGGGTCATTTCAGGACGCCGGTTCGTCACATTAATGACAGATTTGAATCACTTACCTAAACGAGCGTGAACCGTCTTGTCAGAGGGATCGGATTTGGGCAAAAAATCGGATTTGAGCAACGAGGCTTGTAATGTGAACGTAGCTTAAGAATAGTCTACCAAACAAATCAAAAATAACCTGTGTCAAACTTGATTCCCTCCAGGCCACAGTTTTGCAGAGATTGGAGTTTTCCCTTTTCAGGAGTCAGGAGGCTTTGCTGGAAGGAACCAGAGGGTGGATAATAGAAATTGTACACAGAAAAAAATAAGCTATAGTCCGTAACTGTACACCTACGAGTTATACCAGCAAGGTCTAATAAAGTGCTTCAGAAGTGTATTCAGTATTTCTAGAGAAACAATGAGCTGAAACTTGTGTGTATGTGTTGCAGTACTCCTACTCTGCTGCTGTGGAAGAATACAATGCTGCGATCACAGTGAGGAGACGAGGCTCTTTTCAGATGGACAGTCCTCAGGGCCTGCACGGTAAGCGAGGCCCTTTAGTTAACAGCCTCAGTATCAGTGAACAGATATAATTACAATGCGCTGCACTACAAAGTAATGTGCTCTGACTCTCCTACCCAACAACAATCTGTGGGACAGCGGTTACACCTCAGTTCTACACAATTCTACACCAATATAAACACTTAACATCAGCTCAGCAGCTCAGAAATTGAGCCCAAGTCTTAATGAACTTGCAACAAAGAAAGGATGCCAGGTAGGTTTAAAAGACCGAGCACTTGGGGACATTTAAATTTTGAATATTTCAAGTGTCCATGTAATTTTTCAAGGTCTACTACAAGTGTCTGTATTTTACTATTAAAGTTACAGCACAACATTAAATAATTTTTTTTTTTTTTTTTCTGGCCCACAGATTTGATGAGATTTTTTAATATGGCACTTTAACTGGTTGAGTTTGACACCCCTGCATTATACCATAGCTCTATTCCAAAAGCTAGGCTACAGTCTGGGTGGGCTGCTTTTGTAGATCATCCAAGGCTGATCCAATTAGAAGGATCCTTTGAATACAGCTGAGAAATGCAGCCTACATTCAGACAATTTTGGAGGACACTACTGGAGTCTCCTTTACAGTCTTCTGTCGTCCATCCTTTCTTGATGAATAGTGTAAGACAAACACTGGCAGATGAAAACAACTATTACACATTGTTTAAAAAGGCCAGTAAAATATATAGTAACATATACATTATGCTATTTCTTTCACTTTTTAAGAGGGTGTAATTAAATGCAGGGTGCTTTCCGTGAGTTTAACAGTTTTTTGCTTGCAGGACAACAAACAAAGTGTTTTACCTGCCACATATTACATCATTCATGTCGATGTTTTCTTGCCAGCTTATCATTCAGTTCAACAGCATTTTCTGCACTAATTTTTTTTAATGCAGAAAATGTTTTTTGGTCCTTCTTGATAACGTGACAAAGAGGTCTTGGTTGATGTAGATGTTCAGTTTTGCATTATGTAATACAAATAAGGAGTCTTCATATGACAGTCTTGCCGAGAACCTCTTGTTAGTTTTTTGCTAATTCTAACTCACAGTTTTTTATTTTATTTATTTCCTCTACAGCACACATTATGAGAGCAATTAAAAAATGTATTCAAATCACTTTTCCTGCATAAAATCGATCTGATTATTAAATTCAAAAACATTTTTAAATAAAGTGTGCAGGGGTCCTTTTGTGGTATGTTGCCCTGAAGCAACATTGTGCGACAATGGGAAGTAATGATATAGATCTGTGTTCCCTGAAATGGTGAGATCTGGTTTGTGACTGGCTGAATCCATTCCACTGCCCTACAGTGTTGCTTCTAGGCAACAAACATACTTCTGCAAATTCTCATAACAAAAAAAAAGATACTGAAATGTTAAAAAAAGAGGTTTAAAAGTGTCCACTAAGAGAGAGGATGGCCAGATACATCCTTTTTATTGACTTACTGTATGTTAGTGTAAAGTGAGGAAAATGCCTAGAGGCAACATTGTGCAATAGAGGGTTAACACATTGAAAAAACGTAAAATATAAAATGTGCCATAATTTTGCAAATTTTTTTCTCAATATGTGAAATTGCAATAAAATGTACAGAAATATGTACTCTGTAGAGAATGTGTTAACTTATTAATTCAAAAAGAACTCCTAATAAAACATGTAACCCAAGGTTTTGCATACGACTATAGCACCTAAATTGCAGTGAAAGGTTTGCTATGGTGTTGGTGGGAACATGTTTCCTAGTGGTTGGGAGTGTCTGAGTTGATGTTTGGCTGTACGTGTTTACAGTAGGGCTTGTGTTTGATTCACAGTGAGGTTGTATAACTGCTCGGTGGGCCGTTCGGACTGCAGCCGCTGCCACACAGCGCAGCCACAGTACGGCTGTGTGTGGTGTGAGGGGGCCCGCTCCAGCTGCGTCTTCCACAACTCCTGTACCGACCACATCCAGCACACCTGCCCTGCACCCCACATACACCTGGTGCGTGTGTGTGTGTGTATGTATGTGTGTGAACTGTACAGTAATGCCACATATTGGGCTTTTTTGTGTTCTTTTGACTTATGCATATTCCTAACTTCAGTCCAGTTCAGAAGAGTAAAGCAGTGCCGTACAGTAGACTAGTGTACACATCGACGCAGTATGTTGTCACAATGTAATGTGATTTAACCCTTTTTTATAGCAGCCATAGTCCTAGCAGACAGTGTCCTAGTTAATCCATCAATCAATCAACCTTTATTTAAACTCAGAGTACATTGAGGGAGATACTCATTTACAATGTAGCCGAGCCAATACAGAGATCAGGGATTGAGAAGTTAAATGGTAAAAACAAAAAAAAATCATAGTAGTGAATAAAAAAAAAAAATACAACATAAAATTATATAAAAGTACAACAATATAGTAAATAAGATCAAATAAGAATAAGGAAAAAATATGTAATTAAAATAAATCAATAAAAGATGTAAAACAATAGTTTGGCAACATAAAAATGAACAAAATAATAAAAATGCAACAATAGCTAAAAACATACTAAAATCACTTTAAAAGTTAACTAAAATCATAAAAAAACAGTTGCAGACTGATTGGTGGTGGTTAGATAACTCTGTTGATCTAATAACAGAGTTATGGGGGAAAAAAATATTTGGTTATATTAATTAAAAATAGCAAATCAATTTTCATTCCACCAGCAGAAAAAGGTTAAAAATAGTACTGATACTCAGATGCCTCAGATGAAAGCATTTGTTAAATAGATAAAGAGAGAGACTGTTTTGTAAACTTTACAAATAAAAGCATCTGCTATATTTAAAAGTTGATTTGTCAGCTTCACAGCTCTGTTTTGCTTCAACAAAAAGATTCAAGTGAGATGAATAAAGTGCAGACTTTGGTAAAACAATCTTTTGGAGGAATAATTTTCATAAATCACAGTATATATCATTATGTTAAACTGCAGTAATTCAACTGTATCATGATTTGATATTGTGATAATATTGTGTCATGAGGTCTGTAGCAGTTTCCACTTCTACAGTACACAGTGCAATACTGGGTTGACGGTACAGTCAGAACAGTATGTTCAAAAAATATTCAAATATTGTTAAATACTCTCTTTGAATGTTTCTTTCTGACAGTCTCTTATAATGTCATGCATTGTGTGGTAGATAGAGCCTCTGTCTGGTCCAGTGGAGGGCGGTACTGTGATTACCATCTCTGGGTCAAATCTTGGTCAGAGGGCAGAGGACATCCAGCACTCTGTGATTGTAGCTGGAGCGCCCTGCAAAGTAATCCCCAGCAGATACGAGGTCTCCTCCAGGTAAACTTCATTTCACATCCCCTCATTTTACAACGTTTAACCAATGTAGTGAACCCAAACACTATTCGGAGTCAGTGGTGTAACAATACTGTTAAGTTTTTAAGGCAAAGAAGTGGTCTTTACTCAACTTAAAGGGCCTGTATCGTGGAAAGCTCACTTTTTTGAAATACGAGTTTGATCTAGAATGTAAACATTGTTTAATTTCAAAATGTACTGTTCACTTCCCAGTGCTGTGTCCCAATTCAGGGGCTGCGTCATACGGAGGTTGCATTCGAAGGCCAATAGCGCAGGCTGTCCCATTTCGAAGGCTCCTTCATACGCAGCCGAGTGTGTCTTTTTCCACTTATATTTAAAATTGTACTCTTCAGCCGCCATTCGCTGCTCTGCTGATGCTGCCGTGTTCCCGAATCCTCGCTTGCGTGCAATGAACTTCGGGATATGTTGGCTGGTGAAGGATCCACCTGTAAATATAAGTTCTGGGTTTAAACAGGCAATTGGCTAACGATACAAACTAAGTGATTAAGTGACCCTTATTAGTCCCACAACGGGGAAATTTCACCTCCACATTTAACCCATCTGTGCAGTGAAACACCACATACACACTAGTGAACACACACACAAACAGGAAATCCGCTGTAGAGCAGACCGTCTCATTTCAGTTAAGCCTTCGTGGGTCTACACAGCCTTCGATGGACATGCCTTCGTGGACCACGTCCTTTGTAGGATCCAGCCCCTGAATTTATTTAATGTTGCGCTTGTCTTGCGCTCATTCATGTAGGTCAGGGTCGGCAACATGCAGCTCTTTAAGTGCCATGTTGCGGCTCCCCAGCAGAATTAGATTGTTAGAAAAAGCTGAAATAACCTTCTTTTGCAGTAAAATAAAGCTCTGTTGATCGCTTTAACACAGTTTTAGCAATAAATGGTCTTAAACACTGGAGGTAATGTAGCCTACAACTGCTAATTTACCAACCTTTAACCCTGAAGGTTGGCGCACAGACTGCTGGTCTCAGCAACGCAGACAATGATTTCCCCTAGCTAGCAGCTAACGACAGGGCAAAAAGATTGATTTAAGGCGAACATCGATAATTTAGACACGAATGGACTTATTTGCGTTTATAATCGCTCCAGCTGGTTTCCTAATAAGTTTAATCTGCAATGAAAATCTGTCGAACACTAAAAAGTTGCAAAGCTGAAGTCGCTTCTCGTTTGCCAGCTTCTTGTTTGAATTTTCCACCTTAAATTGTGCAGCAGTTACATTCTGGCCCCTCAGGCACCATTTAAGGTGGAACGGGAAAATTCGAACAAGAAGCTGGCGAATGAGAAGCGACTTCAGCTTCGTAAAAACCCGAACGTTAGGAGACATTTTACAAGAAACTATTCCACTTTTGTGAAAAAGTTTCCTGCCGGAGATGTGAGAAAAGCAGCTATAGCTGAGCTGAAGCTTAAAGCGGAGCAAAGTAAGTCTGTGTTTTTGTTAATCATTTTTTTTTGTTTTATATTTTTTTTTCCTATATAAGTATGTTAAAACATACTGAGACACATTTACAGTCAACATGGTAAAATGGACATGAAATGTTGTGGCTTCCAAAGTGGTTTGATTTTTGTTGAAAAGACAAAATTGCTTCTTTTAACATTTGGGTTGCGACCCCTGGTATAGGTTCATTGTCCTTAACCTGGCAACCCTCATGAACCTTCAGTCTGGCGAGTTTGGGTGGGGGCAAACAACTCTCTCTAATATCCCATTTTGAATGCTTGCTGTCAGTATTACATATTGTTCCTTTAACTTTAATCAAGTATTTGTTTTAAGTAGTCTGTCTGTTATTAATGGGAGCGTGTGTGTGTGTGTGTGTGTGTGTGTGTGTGTGTGTGCGCAGTATTGTGTGTGAGACTACAGCAAGCGGAGGTGAGAGGAGAGGGCAGGTCTCAGTGGAGGTTAAAGAAGGAGGGACTGGACAGTCTGTACAACACTTTCACTACCAGGTAACTGCTTGAACTACTTTTCTTAGAACTTTCCAAGATTTTCCTTCAGATATTTGGGGCAAGACTTTATGGCTGAGCCACAACAGGATGAAGTACCAAATCTAGTTTTATACAGTTTTAATTTAATAGATTCTTTGTATTATTCGTCATTTCCTTCAATTGTTGTGTTAAACGTTGAAAGAGAATTTGACCAATTTTTCCAAATTTCTGCACCTTTAAAATGATTAAGAGGTATACAAAGTCATTCAGAGCAATTTGGTGAAAGAAAACATACTAAGTCAGAATTGTTCACAGTAGTGGTGATAGGAAACAGACATCCAAAGCATTTAATGTCTTTAACAGGTCCTTCACAGAGAGTTGTTACATGACATGGTTACAAATACGCTGCCTGATGTCTGAGGCGTGTAGTTCCACTGGGCAACTTGGGTAGCAATTAAAATGGCTATAATTGGGTTGTAAACATTGGGTCATTGATCACCTCAGTAAAGAAGTATTAGTCAGTAAGTCGGTAAGTTTCTCTACAGTGACATCAGACAACCCTAAATGATGCGGAATGACTACTGAGTAACGTGTAATGAGATTAGATCTCAATGGTGTGAATTATGCAGAAATTAAAACAAATCTGAATTCCCCTTTAATGTGTTATTTTTAGCACTTAGATGTGCTGTTTGATGTATATGTGTGTGTGTGTGTGTTTCTAAATATCAGGACCCAGCGTTACTGGGAGTGTCCCCCCTGAAAGGCCCTATGTCTGGAGGCACGTCACTCACCATTGTGGGGCGGGGCCTACGGACAGGCCAGCTGAGTGAGATCAGTGTTTTGATTGGTGGAGTGCCATGTCTCATGTGAGTTACACTGTTCAGAGGTCGTTTAACTATGAAGTCACACTGAAGGATGTTTGCTTGGTATCTCTTCCTTCAAAAACACACTATAATCAGATTAATTAAAGGATGAGTCATGATAATGAATGACAACTTTGGTAAAAATGAATCAAGGTGATCTTCATTTGAAATATAGTTTTGGTTTTACTGCATTACATTAGTGTAAATATGATTATGGAAAGTCACTGTTTTAAAAAACTTGGTTTGCAGTTCTTCTGAACTGGAAGACGAGCAAATCAAATGTCTGACGGGCGGGAGTAACAGAACAGGGGAGCATGGCGTGACTGTGCAGTTTGGTAGTGCAGAGCGCCATCTACAGACAGCTTCCTATCACTACACACCAGACCCCAACATCACGAGTGCTGCTCCCTCTAAAAGCTTCCTCAGGTATATTAATATTTAAAAATGTCTAAGAAACTTATACCTGAAAACTCTTTTCAACAGAACAGCATGGTGTACAGATGAGCATGAGATGGAACAAAATTGTGCTGCATGAAGTTTTAAAGTGTTTCCAGCACTTTGTTTAAACATGTCACAAACAGCATGTTCTTGAGGCAAATAGGGTTCTACCCAGATACAGTACATAAACTATACAAACTGAAAAAAAATTTATTTTTCTCATGGTCCAGCGGGGGTCGCGTAATTCGAGTTTCTGGTCAGAATTTGGACGTGGTCCAGGAGCCTCGCATCCGTGTGACCCTGAGCCCTCTGGAGCCACTCTTTTCAGGGAGAAAGAGAAGGAAGAGAAAGAGTGATGGACACTCAAGGAGAGAGGACAGGCTCTGGCCTCTCAAAAGGCAGCGACGGATAGTCCCAGAACCCGGCTGTCCTGAAGACAGTCTCTGTGATGTCAAGCAGGTAGGCATTGAATAAATGTGCATGTGTGTGTATGAATATACACCGGTCAGGCATAACATTAAGACCACCTCCTTGTTTCTACGCTCATTGTCCATTTTATCAGCTCCACTTACTATATAGGTGCACTTTGTAGTTCTACAGTTACAGACTGTAGTCCATCTGTTTCTCTGATACTTTGTTAGCCCCTTTTACCCTGTTCTTCAGTGGTCAGGACCCCCATGGACCCTCACAGAGCAGGTACTGTTTGGGTGGTGGGTCATTCTCAGCACTGCAGTAACCCTGATGTGGTGGTGGTGTGTTAGTGTGTGTTGCGCTGGTCTGAGTGGATCAGACACAGCAACAGTTATGCCTGATCGGTGTATATGAAACAGTGTCTATTTAAGATTGCTTGGTAACTTCTGGCGGCTTAGCCTTGTAACTTGGGTGCATTACTAATGAAGCAAACTCGGGACACCAAATATGTTTTAGTTGCTCAACTATGTCCACTCACTGTCCACTCTATTAGACACTCCTACCTTGTCAGTCCACCTTATAGATGTAAAGTCAGAGATGATAGCTCATCTGCTGCTGCACAATTGTGTTGGTCATCCTCTAGTCCTCTAAGAACAGGGTAAAAGGGGGCTAACAAAGTATCAGAGAAACAGATGGACTACAGTCTGTAACTGTTGAACTACAAAGTGCACCTATATAGTAAGTGGAGCTGATAAAATGGACAATGAGTGTAGAAACAAGGAGGTGGTCATAATGTTATCGGTGTATCATCACTATTACAAGAAACCCTTGACTCTCCATTTGTTTTGTTTTTTAGGTTTTATTTGATTTAAAGACAAATTAACTTCTAGACATACTCAGTATGTTCTGTATAGATAGCCAATGAATAGAGAAACACAGAGAAATATTCGGAAAACAGAAATGTTCGACAGATCGCACAACTCTGTGTGCAGTGCAATCTACTTGTTGGACATATGCGTGCAGTGCATGTGAACACGTCCTGTTTTACTCAGATAGAGGAGCGCTGTACAGCCAACAGCTCCACTCTGCTCCTGTGCCCCACACCGGAGCTGGGCCCAGAGGCTCGCCATGCTGCCATCAGCGTCCACTTCCTGCTGGATAACCTCAGCTTTGACTTCAAGGCGGTCAGCGGCAGCCCCTTTTCTTATGAGCTGAACCCCATCCTCCATCCTCTCAACCGGGGCGACCCCAGCAAACCCTATCGCCACAAACCTGGGAGCGTCATCTCTGTGGAGGTTACACATCACCTTTCACCCACAGCACACTGTATACCAGGGCTGCTCAAAGTATGTCCTGCGGGCCAAAGTGGTCTGTGAGGTCGCTTGATTTGACCTGCTAGAATTTTACCCTCACCCCACTCACATAGCCAGTGAGAGAACTTATTAACTTGTTAACCCCTTACATTGTTACACACTTCTGTAACCTAAGAATAGCTCAACCAGTTTGCATTGAAGTCCTTGTAGTTACTGGATAAGAAGCTTTAGTATGTAGTCTGGGATTTTAAGGGGTTAAATTGTATTTTTTCTAAGTATTTCAGGGACAAAATATAGTTATGAAATAATGTTATGAAATATATTTTCACAAGCTCAATTTGTAACCTACTTTCCCCTTCCATCTTTACTTTGTACAACCCCATTTTCCAAAAAAAAAAAAGTTGGGACGCTGTGTAGAATGTAAATTAAAAATAGAAAGCAATGATGTGCAAATCATGTAAACCATATTTTTAAAGGAAAATACTATAAAGACAAAATATCAAATGTGGAAACTGAAAAATCTTATTGTTTTTGAAAAATATATGCCCATTTTCAATTTGATGCTCACAGTACGTTCCAAAAAAGTTGGGACGGGGGCCTGTTTACCACTGTGTTTCATCACCTCTTCTTTTAACAACACTCTGTAAGTGTTTGGGAACTGAGGAGGCACTGGTGTAGGTTTGAAAGTAAAATGTTTTCCCATTCTTGTTTGCATATATTTTTCAAAAAACAATAAAATTTCTCAGTTTCGACATTTGATTTGTTGTCCTAGTACTATTTTCAATGAAATATAGGGTTTAAATGACTTTTTGGCCCTCAACCCACCACAAACATTGCACCACCCCCCGGAAGATAAGAGTTTGGGCACACCTGCTGTATACAGTATATTAACATATGTTATAATGCAGTTACATTGCTCATGTTATCAGTGTATGACACAACATTGCTAGATTGTCAGTAGAGGGACCAAGTGAGTAACATTTAATTCAGTGTTATATGTAAGCATGTAAAGCAGCTCTTTTTAGAAACGTGCACCTAAAAACTTCATAGTTGTTACTTGTTTTCTGAAACCTAAATTCAGTCATTATTAACTTAGCAGTGACGTCTGTGGAGGTTTAAGCTAATGTTTTCTGTCTCATGTAGGGGGAGAATCTGGATTTGGCCATTTTTAAGGAGGAAGTGGTGGCTCTGATAGGAGACGGAGTGTGTGCTGTGAAGACCCTCACCAGGAACCATCTTTACTGTGAGCCTCCAACCCAGCAGCCCTCAGTGTCCGCATCAAAGAAGCGAGAGGGCACAGACGCTCTACCAGAGTTCACAGTGAGTCATCAGTGAATCATCTGCTGTTTCCCATTGATTAACTAGAATGGATGCATCTATTCATTAATTGATTCAGATGATTCTTTGTTGTAAAAAGTCCTCAGGATCTAGAGTAATTGTTATCAACGTCCATGTGTTCAATTTGGTATGATCCAAGCCCGTTTGCATGAGTTTGGTTACTAGGCTTTGTCCTTAAAGATTTGTTTAGAAATATAAATCTTTCAGATTATATTTAAAGTGTTTCCCTTGTGTAGGTACGGATGGGGAATCTGAACTTTTCTCTGGGAAGAGTGCAGTATGACTCACAGGGCCAGGCCATGTTCCCTCTGGAGGCTCAGGTTGGGGTGGGGGTTGGTGCCTTCATCGTGGCTCTCATCGTGCTCGTCATCGTGCTCATATACAGGTACAAGGCCATAATCCCCATAGTCACCTATAAACTTATATATCTGATTGATGATGGTATCAGGAATCTGTCAGGAAGAGGATAGAGAATGGCCACTGAACTGGCAAATTTGGTGGTCATTCCCTTTAGAGGAAATTAATAAGACAGAAATTGTGCTGTTAGTGTTTTCATATTTGTGCCATAATCTGTGTTTTCTTTCTTCTTGTTGTTCATGTCCTTTACCAGCCCTAATATGTTGTCATATTGTCATATCGCTGTTGTCTGAAGAAAACCTATCTCCACATTGTTAGTTTTACAGGAAAAGGAAAAAACTTGTTTTACTTTTAATGTAAGTCAATGGAACCAGACATTTTCCCAAGTCATTTTGGGTCATTTCTTCTGGCCCATTCTTTATGAAATTGACACACAATGTAAAGAACAACAGGCATTTTCAAATTATGTTAAAAACCGAAAAACGACAAAAATGGAGATATGAGGTTTTGTTCCGACAGCAGCGATGTGCACATCTCACCAAGGTTAGGGTTTGCAAAACAGGTTGAAGTTACATCAAAGCTCTTATTTAAAAAAGACCATTTAAAATAACAGTGGCATATAGGTTAATTTAATTTGGTAAGTTTCAGCACGTGTAATTTTTAATAAAAAGTGGTTTAGTCTTAACAAACCATGATAATAAAAAAATTAGCTTACAAGATTGTTGCCAAATGGTACACTAGTGGAGCTTGGTTGGCTTGTTACCATGTTTAGTATGTTCTCCACATCTCCACCATGCAATTGTCAGTCAGCGATGGCTAGGGGATACAGTCAGTTGTATGTTTCACATGACCTCACATACTTTGTCAGTTACAAAGTTTGTCTGTGTACATATTTGTATGAGAATTTACATGTGTTTGTTTCCACAGGAGGAAAAGTAAACAGGCTCTGAGGGACTATAAAAAAGTTCAAATTCAGCTTGAGAACCTGGAGACCAGTGTGAGGGATTGCTGCAAGAAAGAGTTCACAGGTATAATTTCTTGTGCAGTAAGTTGATAAGTACCCCATGCAAAAGTTAGCAAAACCCCTATGATAAACCAAAATCTTGTCTTATTGTTGTTAGATTTGATGACAGAGATGATGGATATGTCCAGCGATTTGGTGGGATCAGGTATTCCGTTTCTGGACTATCGCACCTATGCAGAGAGGATTTTCTTCCCTGGCCACCGGGAGTCGCCACTGAGACGAGACCTGGATGTACCGGCCTGTCGTCGGGTTACAGTGGAGCAGGGCCTCGTTCAGCTCTCCAACTTACTCAACAGCAAGCTTTTCCTCACCAAGGTAGCCTCCTCCACCCTCAAAAACACTTACGCAGCCCTAGGCTGGCATGACCTGTAAAAAGCCTTAAAGTTGAATGTGTGGAGTTCATTTAGCTTTTTCCATAACTGCAGTTCATCCACACTCTGGAGGGGCAGAGAACATTCTCTCCACGGGACCGTGCATATGTGGCCTCTCTCCTCACTGTGGCGCTGCATGGAAAGCTGGAATATTTCACAGACATCCTTAAAACCCTGCTGAGTCACCTGGTGGAGCAGTACACCACCAAGAACCCCAAACTCATGCTTCGCAGGTCAGATCTCAACTAGATACTTAAAGTGATTCAGAAAAGCCTCTTAGCTTAAATGTAGTTGAGCAACTAAAACATATTTGGTGTCCCGAGTTTGCTTCATTAGTAATGCACCCAAGTTACAAGGCTAAGCCGCCAGAAGTTACCAAGCAATCTTAAATAGACACTGTTTCATATACACCGATCAGGCATAACTGTTGCTGTGTCTGATCCACTCAGACCAGCGCAACACACACTAACACACCACCACCACATCAGGGTTACTGCAGTGCTGAGAATGACCCACCACCCAAACAGTACCTGCTCTGTGAGGGTCCATGGGGGTCCTGACCACTGAAGAACAGAGTAAAAGGGGGCTAACAAAGTATCAGAGAAACAGATGGACTACAGTCTGTAACTGTAGAACTACAAAGTGCACCTATATAGTAAGTGGAGCTGATAAAATGGACAATGAGCGTAGATCATAATGTTATGCCTGATCGGTGTATTGTCATCCATACAAATAATAAAATGCACCATAGAGCATGAACAGTAGTAGCAGACATGTTATAACTTGTATTTTGTCCATTTTGAAAGTCATGTTCTTTAAATAGGTTTGGTCCTAAAAGCATTGTTTCTCATTCCTGGTCCTGGAGGCCCAGTGTTCTGCAACTTTTATTGCTTTTCCTGCTTTAACACTTTAGCCCAACAGTAGGCTGTTAATGAGCTGATTAGTTGGATCAGGTGTGTTGGGAGCAGGGAAAACAAAAAAATGTGGGGCAGTGGGCCTCCAGGACCAGGAACCAACTTTTAGAGAACTTCATTAAAATCTTTTTGTCTTCTGTGCTGTTGCAGAACAGAGTCTGTGGTTGAGAAACTGCTGACCAACTGGATGTCCATCTGTCTATACACTTTTTTAAGGGTGAGTTTGGATTTCTACACTCTCTCTAATGAACTTGCAGTTCAGCGCTAATCATTCACATTCATGTTTCTGAAGAAAAAGAAGGCTGAGATGGATTCCAGCCTAGTTATAGTGAGTGTGTGTTCAGCTCAGTGTGAGCTTGTATTTCGCTCTCTTTATTCCTCTGCATTTTCTCTGCAATGCAGGACTCGGCTGGTGAATCTTTCTACATGTTATTCCGAGCCATAAAGCATCAGGTGGACAAAGGCCCTGTAGATGCCGTGACAGGCAAAGCCAAGTACACACTCAATGACAACCGGCTACTGCGTGAAGATGTGGAATACCGCACACTGGTGAGAGACACGCCCGGTGTAAATGCTTTGGTGTTGAAGTTAGCAGTGTCTTTTCTATTGTGTTTCTTTCCTCTGAGAAATGTATGTGTATTAGGCCTGTGCTACCCCAGGCTCAGGAAGCACATCGGAGACAGGGTTCAGGTTTGCAGCATTCATCAGCTTTAATTTTTCTCACTAAAGACAAAACAAAACAAACAACCAAATCTACACCTGACACTTTTCGGCGGCATTAAACTAGTCTTTTTCCAGTCGTTTTCTCACTCCAGCTTTTCAGCTCTTCACTCAGTCTCTGCTGCTGCTGCTCGTGTCACTCTCTCTCTCTCTCTGAGTGAATGAATCGAATGTGAGGGGTAGCGAAGCGGCCTCGTTGCAGAACAGGAGGCGGGGTACAGGCAGCGGAGTCCGGGACTAGCATCCCGCCTTCATGACTTTTGTGGCCGTCCTCGTCATCCCCTCTTTGGCGACTGACGTTCTCCTCCTGCTGTCACTCGTGTCCCTCGGCGTTGCTTGGGATTCACGCGCCTTCCCCTGCTCACTCGTGGTTCTCCTCTTTCCACCGTCCTTGTGGGGCTTTGTCCTATATATATATATATATATATATATATATATATATATATATATATATATATATATAGGATTAAACAGTCTATACCCATGTATACAATACATTTTCCTTAGATGTTGATCTGCCAAGGCATGTTTATTGTCCAAATTTTGCTTTTTAAATTCCTGGTTTGACACTAGCATTATGAGGCTAACATTGCTAACACACACTAGTAATCAATAGTCACCCATATCTTTTCCAAATATACATCCCCAGAAGTTCTCTCAACCTGCTCAACCTGCATCCACATTTTCTTTAAGGTTGCACAGACTAATTGATGTGGTTTAGGACACGTATGATTTACTATGAACTATTAAAATGTACAAAACTTCACTATGTAGCTGAACACTGCAGGCAGCAATTAAAACAACAGGTGTTTTGCCAAAATTCTGCCGTCTGTTGTATGCACGTACGTCAGGCAGGCATATCAACACCACAGATTACGTTTATGATTTTTATTAACTATTAATTTTGAAAGTTCTAACTGAAGATATACATTTAAAAAATTACAAACAACAGGAATTGTGAATCTCATCCAGCTCCTATGTGCCTGCCCTCAACGTTTGATTACACAATGACATTTTGTTCATTGTTAAAATTCACAGTAAGTCATACTATGCCTTAAACCAAATCAGGGTTACAATATGTACTATTGACTATTGTTTGTGATATTCACGTTGTAGCTCCGGCTCTCAGCTAAAGAAACAAAATTTGGACACCAAAATGTGAAAAATTGTGTAAATTTGATTTCTCAACAAACTATTCCTTTAATTTATTCTCCAGACACTGAATGTCTTGGTAACCAGTGGGGGCGCAAGTGAGTCTCAGACGGTTCCTACGAAAGTTCTGGACTGTGACACCATCACCCAGGTGAAGGAGAAGATCCTGGAGCAGACGTGGAAGGGCACATCTTACTCTCAGAGACCCTCCACAGACTCAGTGCACTTAGGTAAGAGAGGAGCGCAAAACAATCTCAGCTAGAAAACCTTAAAGTGCCTCATTCTTCATAAGCAGCTTGTTATAAGCTGTAATGTGTTCACTGTAGCTGTAGGAAATATGCCAAAAAGCAAACAGTACTGATTAATAGGTCATTAATACAGCTCTAACTTGCCATGTCTGCATTTTATATTACGTAAAATAATTCGTCTTTGATTTGCTGTTGTTGAAAGCACGTCAGTTAGATGTCAAAGGTTTTAGTTATTGTTATTGTTTGGTTGAACTATATTTTCAAGGCAGGTGACTCCTTAAATGTTGCTTTGTCTTCCAACACTAATGTAGAATGGAGGGCTGGCATGGCAGGACATCTGATCCTGTCTGATGAAGACCTGACCTCGGTAGTGCAGGGGTCATGGAAACGGCTCAACACCTTGCAGCACTACAAGGTCCGATCTGTGAATTCTGATATAATATTGTATCTGTACGTAGTTGAAATGCTAATGTTTATTTTTGTTTGTAATCTACTCTGTGCAGGTTCCAGATGGTGCCACGGTCACACTGGTGGCACGGCAGTCCAAACAAGTCCACCATGACAGCCATGACTATGTACCAGGAGAGAGTGAGTAACAAGGCATACTGCACTTACATTTAGCTTTGTGTGGACATTCCTGCATAACCAAATCTTTGTCCGTCACTATCCATCTCTCTTTCTCCTTCTCCATCTCTCTCGCTCAGAGACTCCTATGCTGGAGGATGGAGATGAAGGGGGGGTGAGGCTGTGGCACCTGGTGAAGGCCAGTGAGGAGCCAGAGCTGTCCAAACACAGACGAGGCAGTCTGAGAGAGAGAGAGCGGGAGAGAGCTAAGGCCATACCAGAGATCTACCTCACACGCCTGCTGTCTATGAAGGTAGTGCACACACACTGTGTGGAAGACTGTATTCCACTTGGTCTTGCCATTTCCCCTCAGAGAATTCCCTGCTGTCATCTTAAGGGCCATTCCATTACTGTATTAGCTCAAGTGAAGGGTGGTACATGAGCTCTTAGAGGAACAAGGGATCGAGTGAACGCCAGTGTCAACTTCGGCAGCAGAACTCATTGTGACCTGACGTATTTTCTCTTTTACAACCCAAAAATAATGATGGACAAAGCTGTTTACAAGCCGTACATAAAATTTTCATTTAACATTTAAAATGGACATATGTTGTTTGGTTTATATTCAGTTGATTTTAGGTGCATGCTGCCAGAAGAACAATGCAAAGTCGGACTATAATACTTATAATAATAATTAATCATATTTTAGGCTTCATATTATTTCATATTACACCTTACAAAATATATTATGAAACATTATATATATATATATATATATATATCATGTATAATGAATTATAATGAGTGTATATTCTGACACGAATCTTAATTTGGTCTTGGTCATCTCTGTCTCGCCTCTAGTGGTCTTGACTACAACAATACTGGCTAGTGAATTCACCCTTAAACTTCCTCTGCTGTCTCTGTGTTGCAGGGCACACTGCAGAAGTTCGTAGATGACCTGTTCACAGTCATTCTAAGCACCAGTCGGCCGGTTCCTTTGGCCGTGAAGTATTTCTTTGATCTTTTGGATGACCAGGCAGCTCAACACAATATTACTGACCCAGAAACCATCCACATCTGGAAGACAAACAGGTAATAACTCCAGAAATACTGTATCATCAGTAAATGGTAATGGCACGAGTACTGATAGTCTCTTTCACAGACTGATGAAGATAAACTGACAGTGAACAACACTTAATTGCGTGTCTGTGTTCTGCAGTCTGCCTTTGAGGTTTTGGATCAATATTCTGAAGAACCCACAGTTTATCTTCGATGTTCAAGCATCGGACAACGTGGATGCTGTGCTCTCTGTTATTGCTCAGACCTTCATGGACTCCTGCACCATTGCTGACCACAAACTGGGCAGGGTGAGATAAGAGGAGAATTTCACATTAAAAAGCAACTCAGAGCAAAGTATTAGTTTCTAAACTTACACTTACTTGCACTTTATTAGACGCACCTACCTTGCTGGTACACCTGGCTGGTTTCTGTTATTCATCCTCTAGACGTTTATCAGTGGTCGTTTTTTGACAAGATGACCACAAAACCACTGTTTGCTGAATATTTTTGGTTGGTGGATTGTTGTGAACCCAGCAGTAATAATGACAGGTTGAAAAACCCTGGCAAAGCGACTGTGTTTGATCCACTTGTACCAGCGCAACACTCACTAACATGAAACTATGTCAGTGTTACTGTGCTGTGAGTGGTTTACCACCAAATAATATCTGGTCAGGTGGTGGTCCCGTTCCGTTGATGGATGGGATAGAGAGTGGCTGGCAGTCGATGAGCCACAGTCAGTAATTGTAAACCTACAGGGTGCACCAGTCTGGTAGGTGTACCAAAGAAAATAGGCAGAAGGTGCAGATACAAAGCAGGCAGTCTTTAGCTTCATATACCAAACTTGAAGTAGGAAACCTGGGTGTGATCTTAGACTCTGAGCTGTTTTATCTGCATGTAAACACAGTCACTAAAGCAGCTTTTACCATCTTTTATCATCCCAGAGAAACTCTTTCAAGCATTTGTTACAGCAGAGTTGATCACTGTAATGATCTTCTTACTGAACTTCCTAAGAAAACAATACATCCTTTACAACTCATACAAAATACAGCAGCATCCTCACAAAAACAACACAGAGAGATCAGATCAGTCCCGATTTAAAAGAGCTGTACTGGCTGTTTGTATCGTTTGTATCGTTCTATGTTTTGTAGTATTTATTTTTTTATTTGATCTGTGTCATTTTCTTATGATCCTAAATTAATGCTTAGAATTTCTTGTGTAACTGTTTTTTACTGGCATGAAAAGTGCCATATAAATAAAAATTATTATTATTATTATTATTAGTAGTAGTAATAAACCAGCTACTCAGTGTACTTATTTAAAAAATACACAAGATGTCACAGGTGGTGAGTTTTTGTTCTGTTTATTTCTTTATATAGGACTCCCCTATCAATAAGTTGCTGTATGCTCGAGACATCCCACGCTACAAACAGATGGTGGAGAGGTGAGTGTTTTCCCTACATTTGACTCCATTACTCTGTTCTTTTTGATCTGGCCTCCTACTTGTTATTTATTTATTCATTTACCCCTTTTTTGAGTTTTAAAATTATTTAAACAGAAAATTTTGAACAATTTTATTTTGGAAATTAAGATAAACATTGTGATTGTGTACAGCTGCATTTATGTATGATTGTTGCCACTCTTGTGTTTATACAGATATTACGCAGATATAAGGCAGACCATATCTGCCAGTGACCAAGAGATGAACTCTGCTCTGGCGGAGCTGTCCAGGGTGAGTGCATTTCGTTTTAAAAATAGTTGGAAAGAATGAGGGTCCTATGACACCGTTTAGGGCCGCTGTTAATAAAAACAAAAATACTAGTCTTTGAGAAAAAAGTTGTAATATTTCAAGAAATAAGTCGTAGAATTACGACATAAAAGTGGCATTAATACCAGGAAAGATCGCAAAATTGTGGCCAAAGGCTTTGCGAAGTGAAGGCAGCACCTCCTCGTGTTAAATGAGGGGCGGTGAGTTGGTGGGGTTCTACTTTCATATCGATTCACCCATAAAGAAACACTCAGTCTCCCTGTTTCTCCTGCACATCAGCACCAGCCTGTTATTAGTATAAGAAACGGCTGAGCAGGAAACTGTGGTTATCGGGGCTACATCTCCACACCATTCAAAGAGGACATGAAGTTTCACAGTGAGAATGAATATCAAAATGATTGATCCACAAAGAGACAGGAGTGGAACTCCAGCGCCAGTACAACAACCGAGACCCCAACGCGTTATGGCAGCCCCCTACAGTTAGCCCACTTTATCCTCCAAATATTGTGACTTTTTTTTCTCAAAATAGTACGACTTTATTCTCGAAATAGTACAACTTTTTTCTAGTTTTTTATTAACAGTGGCCCTAAAACGCTGTCATAGGGTCCTCAAGGACAGCAAGTAGTTGAAACGTTTGCTAAATTCCTCTGTTGCATTAGCACCTACTTATAAACATTCTTTCTACACAGTAGGCATTACTCGAACACGGAGGATTTTGCTTACTTGCTCTGTCTGGACGTTATAAATCACTTCTGCATCACTTGCACTGACCTCTTTCTTTGATTACTATTGGAAAATTAGGACTACATAATATATTGTTTGTTAAGTATTATCACAATGTTGGCAATACTCAAATCAAAAAGACTGCATTATGCATATTAGCCCTTTAATAAATTACAGAAATGTTCATTGTGCTGTAAGCATTCTGAACAGCCTCAGATGCCACTTATGAGTTTCTGCGGTAGTTTTGATTAATCAAGGTATCCTTGTGATCCAACAACAGTGAATAATTTTGGTCAGAATAATGCAGGGTATTTTTAATCATTCACAAAGCATACTGTATTCAGAATGTTTCAGCGATATCATTATAATATTGTACTTTGTTTATACATCATGTAGTCCTTCCTTCCAGTTTATGGCAATTCCCTTCATTGATCACACATAGAAAATCATAAATACTTTTAATATCTGTCTAATTAAATTACTCACATGTTACTCTTTCAGAATTACTCCAGTGAGGTGAATCACCTTGTGGCCTTACATGAATTATACAAGTACATCAACAAATATTACGATCAGGTAAGGAAATTGTGCAGACCAGCTTGTTCTTTACTGCAGACGGTGACAAAGGAAAAGACCTGAATGAATGAGAAGAGAAACATAACGAGTGGAGATGACGGGGCTACTGCATGAGACAGTTAAACCATTAACTTAATACCATGCCCAGTGGCAGATATTAAAATGCTGAGCAGGCCCAGTTGACCTTGATTTTGGACCAAGATGAAAAGAAGAAAATATCTGTGACTTTGAAAGAGGGTCCATTATTCAGGCCTGCAGGCAGAAGCTTCAATTACTACGACTGATTAGTGCATCAGTAGAAACAATGACTAAAATGTCATCTGCATTGAAATTTATGGGAAATGCATCCTGTAAATAGAGCAAAATTGTGGTCGTGTATGCACATTCAGTGACCGTGATGCTTGTGCATGAGTGTGATACGTATAGAAAAACAGAAGAGCAGCTGTGCCTCAGATGACTCAGGTTGTCCATGCAGGACATCAGACTGCCAGCAAGAACAGTCTCAGGGACATTGTAGTAGGGGTGCAGTGCATAAACGTCTCATTACAAAGAAGAATGCACGTTTGAGAGTTCAGTGGTGCAGAAGCCATTAGCACTCATTCACAGAGTTGATTATTTTTACCCCTACCCCTTGTTTTTGAGTGTCTCCCCTTGGAACTGAGTTACAGGGTAGTGGTTGAAATCTTCCTCTGAAATGGGACCCTCAAATAAAAAGAGCATCACTTCATTAACAGCTACCAGCGCTGCTCTGTAGGCGACCCTGCCAGTCTGCAGTGACAGCAGAGGAGGGTAAAGTTCAGCTCCTCACTGCTGGGCTTTAGTTACATTTAGGGCATCATATGCCTTCAAAGAGCGGGGGGCAATTATTTATTATCACCCACCCCTAATTCCTCAGTGATATGAAGCTGAAGTCAGATATTTGCCAGCTTCTTGTTCGAATTTTCCCGTTCCACCTTACATTTTTATGCGATTTTTATGCTTGTTATGAAGAAAAGGACCATAATACGTTAAAATGACAATAACCTAAGATAATATCAAAAATTTTAAAGGACAAAATTCTCACTTTTGTGGGTTTCTTTGGTCTCTCGCACAGCCATCCTTTTTGGGGGTTTTTTTCACAACACTGCATTTGGAGTGAGTCTCTGAAAAACAATAGGGTCATATAGCTCTAACAGGACACCCTACCCCTAGATGTGAACATGCAAAATGGAGGGATAGGGCTAAGTGGCAGGGGCAAGGGGTGAAATGGGATTTGGCCATAGTCATGCTTCACCATATTCTGGGCGAGTGCATGTGTGGCCTACACCAAGAGAACAGTATACGCCTGAGTGCTTGACCCCTACAATGAGAGGGTCCTGTGGCTCTGTTGTGCTGCTAGGGGCATTATCCTGGCATGCTTTGGGTCCACTTGTCCCGTTAGAGGGAATAAGTTATCCTGACTGATCACCAACTTCATCAAAGCACCAACTGAGGGAATGTGTTTTGGAACATGGCGCTCCATCGTTACAGTCCACTTCCAAACTTGGTAGAATCTATCTATGGCACGTTGAAGCTGTTCTGGCAGCTTGTGGTGGCCCAACACCTTATTAAGTTGTTTATGTTGGTTTTTACTTTAGTTGTTCTCCCGTCTGTATCAGAGGTGTAAGTAACGAATTACATTTACTCTCGTTACTGTAATTGAGTACAGTTGTCCCTGTAACGGTACTTTTTGGAGTAGAATTAAATCATAGTACTTTTACTCTTACTTGAGTTCATTTTTAATGAAATACTTTTACTTCGCTACTTTAATACAGTAAAAATCAAAGCTGGGTAATTTGCTGATGTTGCTGCTGATTTTAATGGTGTAAATGTTCTGAACAGATATCAGTGAAAATATACAGTGTGAAGGCTGTGAATGTGTTTACTGTGTGTAGAGGTTCACACTTGTTAACGTAAGCTAGAGTCCAGGGAGCTGATGGGCAGCATGACTCTCACTAAAATTACTTCATTAATTAAGCAATCTACTCATAATTTTGATTTTTTTCTCTTAAATGAACTTAATTAATCAGTAACACCCTCTGCACCGTCTTTCAGAGACTCTGAAATACTTTACTGGAAACAGATAAACTAGGATGTCTCATCTAATAATTTAACCATGAAACACATGCAGTTTACTGTAAACCTTGTTCCTTATAGAGTTCACAGAAAGGTGTGTAGAGAGGTGTGTAGTCTCAGCTCTCAGAACTTTAGCTTTAGTGTTTTTCTGTACAGATTATTTATTAGATTATTAGCTCAGAAATATGTTCAGGTTGTGACAGCGGAAATACGAAAAGTAACTCAGTACTTGCGTAGTTTTATAATGAACTACTCATTTACTCTTACTTGAGTAATTTTATTTACTAATACTTGTACTTGAGTAAATTATCACTACAGTAACAGTACTTGTACTTGAGTAGGGATTTTCAGTACTCTTTACACCCCTGGTCTGTATCTACCTCATGAACTACCTTTAGACATCCCATTTCTCCTTAATCTCACTGTATCGTTGTCCTCTCTCTTTCTGTGCTGCCACTAGATTATCACAGCTCTAGAGGAAGACGCCACAGCTCAGAAGATGCAGCTGGGTTACAGGCTTCAGCAGATCGCAGCCGCCGTGGAGAATAAAGTTACTGACCTTTAACCCACAGACCCAGATAGAGACTGAAAAAAGACACAAAGGCCAAGAACAGAGATGGCGCTAAGACTTCTAAAGGCATGTTCCTTCACACAAAGCGAAACTGTCTTACTCGGATTTACTGAGAAGTGCTTGCTGGGAGATGCTATGGTGGTCTTTGGGCGCGTGTTGAGATTATTCCCTGGGCTTTTCATCTCCAGCGAAGTCAAGACCACTGCCCCTGCTCATAAAACAGAACTCTTGTCACGTTGCCTCTGCAGGATGCAAACAGGCTTGTCTGGATCTCCGCTGAACCTCGGCAGATGCTCAGTGATGTTTGGGAAGGACATATGTTGAAGCTTGATTGTCGCCGTTTTCTTCATTGAAGGGAGAAGCTTTTTCATCAGCTGTATGAAGGACAATGCAGCTCCTTCTCAAAAAGAAATTTGAAAAGAAAAGGTTTGTCTTGAAAGAGCCCTGAGTTTTTATCTGGCTCAGCCTGATTCATTCATGAGTGAAAAGTAATGTTCTTTGAAATGGTTAAAGGGAATTATAGACACATCTGGCTAATAATATATGCAGGAGCAAAAAGAGAAAAATATCAGATACGCCGAATACAAACTCAGTGCATTACCTGCATAGCAATACACGCTGTGTTACACAGGTCAGATGTACTGTAGCTACATAGCAGTACACCTTAAAATGCATGTAGCTGATTAATTTTACATCTTTAAAAGCATTCAGAAATGCTCAGTGATTAAGAGAGCGAGCTGATGACCACCAAACTTCGCACACACAGCAACTTGAAAGTGCACGGTTCATTACATTTGGCAGCATGGGACCTGCTCTCTCGGATTTTTTGGTACAGTGTGTGATGTACAGTTCACTTCAGCCTTACTTACAGTCTTAAGAGGACACAAAAGCAAATGGGAACACTATGCCATACTGTGTGAGATGTTTCAGTTCAGCTTTTTTTATATTAATTGTGACAGATACCAGTGAAGCCGAATAAAACTGACATTATTATCTTATCAGATTATTATCTGGATTGTTTTGAAGTAGCACTGGTTCAAGGGAAAAATACAATACTGTGTAAAAGTTAAAGACCATCCTTTCATTTATTTAATTTCCAGTCAAAAGGCATTAGGTACAAGTTGTTCATTCTTCAGGAAAAAAAGGAAAAGGGAAAACATATTTAACAACAAATGACACAATCCTTCACAACAACATTCAGTTTTTCAGAGTTTCTCAGTATTCACTCTGTTCAGGCTTTGCCTTCATTACAGCTTCCATTCTTTTCAGGAGACTTGCTTTCAGTTGTTCAAAGAAATCTGCAGGGATATTTTTCCACTTTCCACTTTTTTCCAAAGTTCAGTCTTTTTGCTTCTCACATACCAAATAATCCCACACGATCAGTGGCGTTGGAAGTCTGGGACGTCTTTATTTTCAGTAATAACTTCTTGACAACTACACATCCTTTCACACCAGTTGTCTCTCAGTGGAAGGATGGACAAATACATGGATCTTTTTAGGTCTGAAGCAAAAATGGAGCTTGATTTTTTTCTTCTCTCTCAAAGATGAGAGTTACTGTTTATCTGATGGTGATAGTTTTGGTGATCCACCAGGTCTTGTATGGTTGTTAAGAGTCCCATTTTCTATATTCTATCTATAAATTAGGTTTGGAAAGTCTGGAGTGTCATATCTCCTCAGAGATACCTCCTGAATAACCTATAACTCTGAATGGCTTTTTTGACTGAAAATTAAATAAATGAAGAGTCTCTCTGACTTTGCACAGTGTTATAACTTGCTTTAGATGATGATAATAAGCACTACACAACAGAAGCATGCATGGATGCTTCTCTCAAATTTGCAGATTTGACCCTGAGCTGAGCTATTTTGTTTAACTCATCGCTAGATTAACACCATTAGGATGACTCTGTAATGTAGCTTGTGGCACCTACTGTTCTGTCGTTAATTTGTCCATAAGTGTTGAAGACTAACCTGTGCATAATCTTTGCTGTGCTTCTTTATGCTCTTACAACACTTTATCAATGTCCCTTGAAATAATACGGTACTGTATGTATAGATCACATACACCGATCAGGCATAACATTCTGACCTCCTCCTTGTTTCTACACTCCTTGTCCATTTTATCAGCTCCACTTACTATATAGGTGCACTTTGTAGTTCTACAGTTACAGACTGTAGTCCATCTGTTTCTCTGATACTTTGTTAGCCCCCTTTTACCCTGTTCTTCAGTGGTCAGAACCCTCATGGACCCTCACTGAGCAGGTACTATTTGGGTGGTGGATCATTTTCAGCACTGCAGTAACACTAACGTGGTGGTGTGTGTGTGTTTTAGTGTGTGTTGCGCTGGTACGGGTGGATCAGACACAGCAGTGCTGCTGGAGTTTTTAAACACTGTGTCCACTCACTGTCCACTCTATTAGACACTCCGACCTTGTCAGTCCACCTTGTAGATGTAAAGTCAGAGACGATAGCTCATCTGCTGCTGCACAGTTTGTGTTGGTCATCCTCTAGTCCTTCAACAGTGGTCACAGGACGCCGCCCACAGGACGCTGTTGGCTGGATATTTTTGATTGGTGGACTATTCTCAGTCCAGCAGTGACACTGAGGTGTTTAAAAACTCCAGCAGCACTGCTGTGTCTGATCCACTCAGACCAGCGCAACACACACCAACACACCACCACCACATCAGTGTTACTGCAGTGCTGAGAATGACCCACCACCCAAATAGTCCCTGCTCTGTGAGGGTCAATGGGGGTCCTGACCACTGAAGAACAGGGTAAAAGGGGGCTAACAAAGTATCAGAGAAACAGATGGACTACAGTCTGTAACTGTAGAACTACAAAGTGCACCTATATAGTAAGTGGAGCTGATAAAATGGACAATGAGCGTAGAAACAAGGAGGTGGTCAGAATGTTATGCCTGACCGGTGCATCACAACAGCAGTTTAATCAGCCAAAGAAGCTGCTTGGACAAGTTAAAGTGGATTTTTTCTCAGCAAGGGCCAATCACAAGTCTTTTTATTACTTATTACATTAATTTATTTTTTCCTCTGTATTCCTTGTGGTAATATGGGTCCTTCTGCAGGTTGTGAAGTTTGAACCTTTGTGCAGTGCTAATGGTATGTAATAGTAAAGCACTGCAGGTACTGACAAATTAACAATTAGTGTAGTTCAAGCTCTTAACCTGCTAATACTACTGCATACAGGCTCTCCTGCTTTGGGCTGGGCTACCACCAGATCGTTTTCTTCCCCTTAAATGCCTAGAAAAATGATTGACATTGTATATTTGTGCTGTGTTTGGATAGAAATGAAGAGAAAACTTTGTGTGGAAATTGCTCTCCAAATCCCTGTAAATCCCCGAATCCCAGTAAAGCACAAAACGTTAGGCATGCCAGAGGAACCTTTCCTCAAATTTCACTCAGATAACTTCAGCATGCACTGTTCATGTGGACTTATAATGCTTTATGTATTTCCTTGTTGCTTTTAATAGCCAAAAGTTGCGAATACATCAGGTACATTAATAATGGGTAAAGCAAGCCACTGCGTACCAACAGGTTATACTGCTTACCGTTTTCCTTTCGAATGTTCTTAAGTTTTTATTTATTTATTTATTTATTTTGTGTCCGATTGGCTGCTAACAGTTGGGTTTATGTGAAGACCAAATTCCCATAAATGATTTTCGACCCCGTTTCTGAAGGCCTCCGATTCCCCAGTGTTGTTATAGTTTACACTGACAATTACAAATGTACGAGTCTTATTTACAGTGTCCTGATTATTTTAGGAACTTTGTGTGGTGGTGAAAGTTACACATTGTTTGTTGTAAATCATGCTTTGGAGGTATTTTGAGCTCTTCTTGACTGTTGATCATGTCACGTTAACATTTTTGTCATTTTTAGCTGCGCTTTTTTATTGTAAATAGAGATGTTGTAAACACCCATATGCATCCCAAGCAGTTGAAATGGAGCAAAGGTGCATTTGTGAAAAGCTGTCCTGTAATAAAGTTGTCAGAAAGATCAGCTTTGCCAGTTCTGATGTAGTTTTAATCAAATGTTTGGGGATAAACACTCTTTAACGAAAGGTTAATTTCTTCGAATAAAAGGTTAAATTCTTGAAATGTCCGAAGGAAGATTATCCAGTCAGGATTTTTTTTGCTGTAGTATGTAGGAAGGTACAGCAAAGTGAGCTTTTCCATTGGTTAGGCCTTCAGAAGCTGGTCTGTCAGATTAGCCACTGACATAATTAGGACGCGACAGTGAAATCGACCAATCAGCCTTTAATTTCCAATGGGTGGGACCAATGAAAAACGTCTCCTTAGGCCAGAGGTCTTTAATTAAAATTCAGCAAGGTCCAGTTTGAGATCATTTCCTCAAGCGAAGGTCCGAAACATCATAATGTCTAACTTACATTATGACTCAGTGCCATATACTGTTTACTGAAGTAGCCTAGTAGGTATATCAACATCTTATACAGTCAACAACTGAATATCAAATCAAATAAAGTACAGTTCAGTCATATTTCAACAACATTTACTGTCAGTTTTCTCTTTTTAGATCACGCCATGTGAAATAACTTCCCTCTGACTCACTTTCCTCTCTGACTGCTGTGTCTCGCCTCGTCCCTCCCCTGTGTGTGCCTCACTCACTCGAGTCTCAGTGCTCATCGTAATACACAGATCTGATTGGCTGAGTAGCGTCACGTGTGATATTTACACTGCATGCGGGCTGCTAAAGCTACTGTAAAGGCTAGAAAAGTTACGCCGATTAAAATACGACCCCGTCGAAATTACATAATTCTCCATAGTTTATCGGTTACAGGTCCAGGTCCACATAGGACAGCGTCCGGATTCGGACTGCGGTCCGCCTGTTAGTGACCTCTGACTTAGGCCTTCTGAAAGACATGGGCCAACACACTGAATGTGAATGTGAGCTGTAGTCTAATCAGGATTCAGTCAGCTGTTAGAAATTATAGCGGCAGCTCTTTACTGAAAGAGTCACTGTAAAACTGCTACATACAAGGTGACGTATATGTTAACGTCTGTTACAAGCAATAAATAAAACATGGGACATCATTTCCATGCTTCATGTTCGTTTCTACTATAGATCAGCATAAAATAGCTTAGTGCTAGCAAACCACTAGAATCCCATTAGGGCAGAAATTATAATTGCCTTAGAGGTGTTTGATCCTTGATTTTGACATAGTTTTGACATTTATCGGTCAAACTGAAGGCCTAGCTCTAATAGTCCTGTTGGTCCCACAAGTTTTTGTTTGTGTTTTTAAATTATTGAGATACTGCGTATAAACAGATACACTATAAAGGAAGAGACCAGTCATTGGTTGAAATATGAATGGGAAAGCTTGTAACGCTCAATATGCCATCTGTTTGTGGACAAAGTCCTGGCCTTCAAGAAAAAAGAGCCAATCAGCTTGCTGTTCACTCTACGAGTGAGAAAAGCCCTCACCTCGTTGTGGAGATCTGCCCAAGCACAATCCAGAACAACCCGAAAAGGCATGTTTTTTGTATGTTACTGGGCCAAATGTTACAAACCATTTATGAAGTTTGTGTCAGGTTTTATCAGTGACTTCAAATATGTTGTTTAAACACTAAATTGACCTTCTTTTTTGAATATTTTGATCTCTGTATTTAAAGAGATGGGAGCCTGGTCTTGAAAACACCTGCCCAGCTGCGTTGCAAAGATCTGAACAGACTTTCATGTAAGGACTTTGGTGTAAGTCACAGAATTCACACCAATATTATTTTAATCATCCTCTTGGCTGTAATATAGCCCCATTTTGAGACAGAAACAACTCACGGTGAGGCATCTGCTAGCTGATGTATAAGAATTGGTAGTCAGCATTCTCCTTCAAGCGTGTTGAGCTATCCAATGACATTGCATTAGCAGCAGATCAAACAGATGTGGAGGCTGGCTTCACATGACTCAGACTTCACCCTCCCAGCATTGGTCATATTGTGTGTTGTGGGTCACCCAGCTAGTGGGTGGAGCTAGACTGGGGAGAAAAATGGAAAAATGCCAAAAAAGCCCAAAAACTGTGTTTAAGTTGGAAAGCTCATCTGGTTCTGTAAGGACCCAGCCTGAGCCGCTGGCCACTAGCAGAGGGCAAAGGCAGCGAGGTGCCATAACTTCAGGGAGCCTGGCACACCTGTGGACTCCTCTACTTAAGGCTGTGGCAAACAGCAGCCGTTTGTTACACCTTTGTAGAGGGATGACCGGTACAGAAGAAAGAAAAGAGGCCTGGAAAAACAGAAGAGAGAAATTTCCCCAAAACTACTTAAAACCAAAAGAAGGCTTGAACAAGAAACGGCTACAATCCATACAAGAGTGTTTGCTCCATTAAGAGCAATGAGGTGAAACATAAAGCTGACCTTTCTCTCATAATTACAGAGGAAGAGTTTTTTTTTTCTGATTATCTTTTATTTCACTTTTCTAGTTCAGCCTTTGTTTGAGCGCTGCTTTCAGCGTCCCCTTTGTTTGCCATTTTCCCACCTTTTTCTTTGCCGTTCCTTGAGGTGTTTTTCCCAGTGTTTCCTGTGCTTTCGGGTGGTGCAGTGGTCACTCCATGGACTGCCAATTAATATCTCAGTGGTTCGAGCCTGGCTCTGGGTCACCTCAACTCCAATGTGCACAATCACCAAATTCACACTCCATCACCTCAATAAACTCATTTAAGAGCCTTTCTCACCGGTTTCCTCTCTGCACTTGGGTCCGTCTCCCTGCCGGCCCATAACAGGGTCAAGCAACACTAACTGTGTTTTGCATCGTTTTACTAAACTGTGTAGTGACTGTTTAAACTTGCTGGCCTACCTGTTACATTCATGGGCTCATTCTCAATCTGCAGCAAATTAAACGCCCGTTTGTTTTCTGTTTCGTCTGGATGTGAAATCCTCATGTCTGTGTTCCACATTATATGCAGACTGTATTGACTGTATTAGTACAGTTGAGAGAGGGAGGTTGAGCTGAGTTTACCATGTAAGGAATCTGCAGCGTCCCTCACCACGCAGAGTGGGATCAAAGCGCCAGGCTGTCACTCAAAGCCGCAATTGCCCTGAGATACGGCCGTCTGACACTTTGCCATGTCTAAAATCAGCTCAAACACAGATTAAATATCAGCAAACCTGCACAGCCTCTGTGTGAGGCTTTATGTGAGTCTGTCAGTTACCATCTCACACCTTCACACATCGCACCACAACAACGTTCAGAAATCCTGTGGTCATGTTTATTTATATATATAGGTGCACTTTGTAGTTCTACAGTTACAGACTGTAGTCCATCTGTTTCTCTGATACTTTGTTAGCCCCCTTTTACCCTGTTCTTCAGTGGTCAGGACCCCCATGGACCCTCACAGAGCAGGTACTATTTGGGTGGTGGATCATTCTCAGCACTGCAGTAACACTGACATGGTGGTGGTGTGTTAGTGTGTGTTGTGCTGGTACGAGTGGATCAGACACAGCAGTGCTACTGGAGTTTTTAATCACCTCATTGTCGTTGCTGGACTGAGAATAGTCCACCAACCAAAAATATCCAGCCAACAGCGTCCTGTGGGCAGCGTTCTTTGACAACTGATGAAGGACTAGAGGATGACCAACACAAACTGTGCAGCAGCAGATGAGCTATCGTCTCTGACTTTACATCTACAAGGTGGACTGACAAGGTAGGAGTGTCTAATAGAGTGGACAGTGAGTGGACACAGTGTTTAAAAACTCCAGCAGCACTGCTGTGTCTGATCCACTCAGACCAGCACAACACACACTAACACATCACCACCACGTCAGTGTTACTGCAGTGCTGAGAATGATCCACCACCCAAATAGTACCTGCTCTGTGAGGGTCCATGGGGGTCCTGACCACTGAAGAACAGGGTAAAGGGGGCTAACAAAGTATCAGAGAAACAGATGGACTACAGTCTGTAACTGTAGAACTACAAAGTGCACCTATATAGTAAGTGGAGCTGATAAAATGGACAATGAGCGTAGAAACAAGGAGGTGGTCAGAATGTTATGCCTGATTTTATATATATGTGTGTGTATATATTTATATATATATACACACACATCGCTGTTGTCTGAACAACTACTACTTTTAATGTAAGTTAGGGGAACCATTTTGGGTCGTTTCTTTTGGTCCATTCATCATGAAATTTACACACAATGTAAAGTATTTTTTATATATATGTATATATACATATATGTGTGTGTGTATATTAGTTTATTTTTCATATTCCAGGCTTTGTGACTCATTTATGATTACCTAACAAATCCTTGTCATAAATGTCTGTCAAAGTAATGAGTAATTACAGTATTTAAGTGATCCTAACAATGAGGAAAATACATTCACTGAACTGTCGGCTGTTTAAATGCATTCAAGCCTGTGTTCCAATAACTAAGCACCACTAACCTAAATTAGATGTGCCACTGAGGCACGTGAGGGACTATTTTTGGGAACAATGTCACTTCCAGAGAGTGAGGGTCAGATCATTTGGACTTAAAGGAGGACAACAGGGGTCCTGCTGGGCTTCTCAGGTTCACATGCTGTATTTATGAGTGCAAATGCTTTTAGGGATGTTTTAGGGATGCTTGTGTGCCAAAACATCAAGCTAAACCCAACGACAGCTGTTAGCGTTGGGGAAGAGAGGAAAACGAAACAGCCACGTCTTAAAATCCAGGTCAGATAGAAAATAGAAAGAAGTAAACGTCTTTTAAAGGTATCTGAGTTGGTCAAGCAGCATCCACACTTAAATCAGAATCAGAGTTGGTTTTATTAGCAAATCACTTACACAAAATCAGACAAAATCAAAAAACACCCAAAAAACTGTTATTGGAAATTATTGTATTGTATTATATTGTATTGTAGTGCAAAGACAACATATCAAATGTTGAAACGGTGAAGTTTTATTAGTTTTTGAAATATATATGCCCATTTTGAATTTGATGTCAACAAGATGTTTTGAAAAAAACACTGTGTTTCATCACCTCTTCTTTTAACAACACTGTAAGCGTTTGGGAACTGAGGAGACACTGCTGTAGTTCTGAAAGTGAAATGTTTTCTGTTCTTGTTTGATACAGGATTTCAGCTGCTCATCAGTTCAGGGGCTCATTTGTTGTATTTTTCGTTTAATAATTCCAAATGTTTGCAGTGGTGACAGGTCTGGACTGCAGGCAGGTCAGTTTAGCACCCAGACTCTTTTAATACGGAGCAATGCTGTTGTAATGCATTGTCTTGCCATATATATATTATTGTTATTATTGTTATATTAATGTTGCCTTCACAGATGTGCAAGCCACCTATACCATTTGCACTAACGTACCCCTACACCATCATGGATGCTGGCTGTGTTCATGATTTCCAAAAAGAATTTCAAATTTTCATTCGTCGGACCACAGGACACTTTTCCACTTCCACTCAGTCCATTTTAAAAGGGCTCAGGCCCAGAGAAGGTGGCAGCATTTCTGGATCCTGTTCATATATGATTTCTGCTTTGCATGATAAAGTTTTAACTTGCATTTGTGGATGCAGCGACGAACTGTTTTCAGACAGTGGTTTTCAGAAGTGTTTCTGAGCCCATGCAGTGATTTCCACTACAGAATCATGTCTGTTTTTAATGCAGTGCCGCCTCTCGTTCTTTAGTAGTGCCTGACCGATATGAACATTTCATGGCCAATGCTGAAACCAACTTTAACAGGCTAAAATTTCAGATAACCAATAATCTGAACAATATAATTTTACTTCTTTTAGGGAAGCAGTGCTGTGGCTGATGTAACAGTCAGTTCTATCAGGAGTTACAGGTGTTAAACTCTTCGCTCTGTTGTCAGACTTCATTAACTTAAACAAACAGCAGAAACTCACCGTCTTAAATAATATAAACATTGTCGCAGTTCAGGGTGGCGCTGCCTTTTACCAGCTTCCCCAGCGGCCAACCTGTTAATTAGTAGCTATATTGTTGGGAGATCATGAGTTTAAATCCTAGGGAAGCCACAACAAAACGGTTGGTCATTATCAACTTTCTTTTTATTTTTCCATGGATACAGTTAAAACCACGGGTCACTGTAAAAGCCAGTCTTATCAGTCGCTGTCGCCTTTCCAGCCCTCCTGAGCTGCTGCTGTGAGGATCTGTGAGCTCTGTGTCAGGGCTGAGTGTTAACAGGCTCGTGTAAAGCGCAGTCCGAGCGCCGTGCCAGGCTGGATTTACATGCTTCTCTGATTTCAGTGCTGCTATGCTGGCTGTAGTTTAAACGCTTTGCTTGTTTTGTTCTACAGGGGCTTTTCAGGGCTGAGCTGAAGATCCTGAACGCTGCTCCAGCCACCTGTCTCACCGTCCGCTCAGAATATCCCCCAGCTGTGTGTGAGAGAGAGAGTGTGTGGAGGGGGGTGATGGAAAATGAGTTGAGAGGGGGTTTCCCCTGCACACATTCACAGTGTCTGTGGGAACCTTCAATCAAATCGAAGCCAAAGCTGACCAGCATGCTGACCAGCACTACAATGTGAGTAACCTTTTTCTTCCACTTTTGAATTCAATTTTTTTGAATTTCATTTTTGAATTCATCATATTAATGAACTAACAAGTTGTTTTAAGCCAGCTGGATGACAGTGATGCTTATTAGGGTTGTAAAAATGCATGGATGCATGGTGTGATATGCTGATTCAGCTGCATGAGTTTTAAAAGGGTTTTGGAAAATTCTGATCAATTATAATAATATTCCTTAAATGTATGGATGAACCGAAATTCTCAGGATGTTCTTCTTTTACTGGAAATGCATATGAAAGAGTTTTTTAATGCACTCAATGAGTTTTTCGTGGTTAAATGAAAGTTAAATTTAAAGAAAAAAATCTGAAGAAATCTTGCTGTACTAATATACTCCTGTTTAAATAGTTCATTCAGCCACATTTGTACATTTAATGCATTTTTATAAGTAGTAGCTGCTCTCGGAACAAAACCTTGTACCTCCAAAATGAGAATTTTCCAGGAGAAGAAAAAACCTACTTTACTTTTAATGTAAGTCAATGGAACCAGACGTTTTTTCTAGTCATTTTGGGTCGTTTCTTTTGGTCCATTCATCATGAAATTTACACACAGTGTATAGTGCTTTCAAATGTTGTCAAAAACTGAAAAACGACAAAAATGGAGATACAAGGTTTTGTTCCGACAGCAGCGAATTACAAGTGAGTCTAATTAAATGTGGCAAAATGATATTTCATGATACACTGACTAATTTTCTATAGAATTAGAATCATTAGGTCAGAGATTTACAGATATATGCAAAAGTTTACATTTTCATTTTCTAAGTGAAAGTAAGTTAACACACCCTCTACAGAGAGCACATTCAAATACGCCATTTTTCTGATGATATTAATGCATATAGTTTAACATAATGTGGAAAAATGAAACATAAAACATCAAATTTGCCATCATTTTATGCATAATGATTGTGCATTAAAACGTGACTTTATTCTTGGTAAAAAAGGTGAGTCATTTGCACCCACATGGTGCCTACATGAATGTGGTGGACCCTGATGTTTTGGACGTCCTCCATCCAGGACAGAAACACAAATCACCTCACAAACAGCAAGGCTACAGTTTTATTAAGGTTCTGTTAGAAATGCTTTAAAGCATTAAGCCACAAGAGCAGGCTTGAGAAGGCTTTTGTTGCCAAGCAACCATGGAGCACTGAACAAGGACAGTCGCCCATCGTTTTACATTGTATATATTTTTCATAAAATCATAAACGTATCATAACATGATTTCCAGTAGAGAAACATGTCTGTTTCTAATGCAGTGCTGTCTGAGAGTCAAATACTGGTTTTCCGCCTCGTCCCTCACATACAGAGATTTCTCCAGACTCTCTGAATCTTTTAATGATATTATGAACCGTAGATGATGAAAAGCAGAAGTTCTTTGCTGTTTTATGTTGAGAAACGTTATTCTTGAATTGTTGCACTATTTGATGGTGCAGTCTTTCACAGAGTGGTGAACCCCTCCTCATCTTTACTTCTGAAAGACTCCGCCTCTCTGAGATGCTCTTTTATACCCAGTCATGTTACTGACCTGTTGTCAATCAACCACCAGGTGTTTTTAGCGTTACACAATTTTACCAGCCTTTTGTTCCCCCGTCCCAACTTTTTTGGAACATGTTATTGACATCAAGTTCAAAATGGGCAAATATTTTTCAAAAAAACATAAAACTTCTCAATTTCAACATTCGATTTGTTGTCTTTGTACTGTTTTCAATTAAATATAGGGTTTAAATGATTTACACATCATTGCTTTTTGTTTTTATTTACATTTTGCACAGCATCCCAACTTTTTTGGAAATGGGGTTGTATTTGCCATGTTTAACACATTAGAAAAAATAAAACATAACATATAACATGTGTTATAACTTTTGTACAGGCCACATTTTATGTTTCTTCCAATTTGTTAAACTGGAACCTGTTGACCCGTCATGGTGCCTGCAGAGTGGGAGATCTCCAAGACTTCCTATTCCTGCATGAGTCTAATGAGGTTTATTGCGTGAGCTGAAAGGATGTTTATAAGTGTCTCTCTATAAGTAGCCCTGTGTCTGGCCCTGGTAACTCAACACCAGCAGGGCGGAGAGGTCACTTTATCCATCCATACTGGAGTTTTATGGTGGTCTAATAATACACAAGCACTGTTTATTTCTCTGTATTTGTTCCATTACGTAAGCATATGTATTTATATGTACAGTGAACTTATATGTGCAGTGAACACAGGGTATTAATGCCGCATGCTTACTGTCCACACCTTGTACTTCCACTGACCACTTAATGGGGTCCGTCTATCCTGTAGGTCCACTATAAAGGTGTAGAAATACAGTGTGTAGTCCATCTGATGTCATGTATAATTTGTCAGGCACCCCTCTACCATCACTGGTCAGTTTCTGACCCTGCTGACCAGATATTATTTGGGTCTCATAACAGAGCTGATATAGTAGTGGTGCTGGTGCGAGTGTATCAGCACAGGTCTACTTTTGTCCAAGGTTCTAGTAATTTGTGGAAAAATGCTTTAAATGTCTAAGATTCATAAGAAGAGGTACTGATTATGTGAATGCGTCTGTGTCCAAAACAGGTCTCATATTGAGAGAGTTTCTACCTTTAATGAGCTGAGTTGTTATGAACATCTGGAGCCGGATAAGGCAGAGGAGCATGAGGACCCAAGAGAGTACTGCTATGGTCAGTGATTGTTATCCTTAATACGATTCCACCATTCATAAAGCCAATATAAGTACAAATGTCTTGTTTGTTGCATGCAATACAAATAAGCAGCTGGATTATCGGGAGGTCATGAGTTTGATCCCCGGTGATGCCACAGGCATCTGTGGTCAGCAGTGGCGGACGAAGTACACACATCATGTGCTTGAGTTAAAGTAGAGACCCCCAAAGTAAAATATTACCCCAGTAAAAGTAGAAGTTCCTCCCTTTAGACCTCCACTTGAGTAAAAGTACTAAAGTATTCATCTTCTAATGTACTTAAGTATCGAAAGTAACAGTACTAAAAGATTAATTATGACTTTAATGTCCTATTATCATTTTTGTTATAGGACTCTTGCATTATCAACTCAGTTTAGGTGAAAATACTCCAGTGTCTCTCTTGGTAAACCAGTCTTTTAATAGAAGGTCATTAATTAGTGACGCTGATGTCTATTAAAATTATCATAAGCACAAAACACTGAAGGCAAACAGTTTCCATCAGGTAGAACTGAGTGGCTCTGAAATCACTTTTTACAAACAAGCAAAGTTTCAGTTTAAGATTTATTTGCAACTTAGTTACAAGTTTAAGTTTAATAAAAACTTTAAACTCAGATTCACAAATGAGTTTCCTTTACTAAACTGCATCTGTAGGTCTCTGTTCATAAACATAAACTAGACAAAACTAATTTACTATAAAATGAAATGTGTTTGTATAAATTCAGAATAAAGACCCGTCAGTCACAACTGCATATGTGTACATATTTCTATATTGTGGTCTGTTTACACAAAGTTAGGTTAGTTCATCATTTATGTTGAATAGACTCTCCCAAAACTTTACGCTGCTGCACTGACGTTGAACCGTGTGCTGCACTGGGTCGGTATGACCAACAGGTCAAAACGAGCTCAAAACAAAGTGACCGCTGTGCCCTGATTGGTGTTGTTGCTTCGCGCTTCTTTCGTTTTGACATGTTACGTTTTTATACACACATAAACCAAAAGGAGCGACAGATTTCTCAGAATGTAGTGGAGTAAAAAGTGAGATATTTGACTTTGAAATGTAGTGGAGTGAAAGTAGAAAGACACCAAAATGGAAAAACTTCAGTAAAATAAAGATACAGGAAAAAACTACTTAAGTACAGAAACGAATTACATTTACTTAGTCACTGTCCACCACTGGTGGTCAGGAGTTCAAGACAGCACAATTGGCCTTACTCTGTGAATGGGTAGGATGACCCTCCCACTCTCCACGTCACTCAGTGCAGTGCTAGCCAGTGCAGGCAGCTCTTAGTGACCATCAGAGAACTGGCAGGTAATGTTGTCCTCGAATGTGTTGGGCTGTCCAATGACGTTACAGTTTGAGGAGATAACAGTGTCTGGCTTCACAGGCTCGGAGGAAGCATTTGCTGGCCTTCAGCTTCCTGGCGCTGGTAGTGCTATGTGATTGGGGGAGCTAGTGGGTGAAACTGGACAGGAGCAAATTGGAGGAAAATTAATTTGTGGAAAAATGCAAAAATAAATATATAAATAAATAAATAAATAAATAAGCAGCAGGAAACAGTGAAGCTGCTTGACTCTTGCGTCTGCTCTGTCCTAAGGAGGGTACCATCCCGTACAAGAGGGAGATGTTTTTAACAAGAGATACAAGGTTCTGTCCAAACTCGGCTGGGGCTACTTTGCTACTGTGTGGCTCTGTGTGGACCTCAGGTATGTAGTGTCATTGTTGCTCACCAGGGGTCATCAGCTCCAGTTCTGGAGGGCCGAAGTCCAGCACAGGTAGGTTTCCAGCTCAAACATACCAGCTAAACCTGTTAAAGGGACATTCCAGCCTAAAATAAGGGTTTAGTTTGTTATATTGTGTAATATCTGTAACCCAGCATTACATCAGCCTCACAAGTGTTGGGTCATTCTACAGAATGTCCATTTTTGTGTTCCTAGCATTTGCAGATATATAAAACATGTTAGGGTTACAATTTATTTATATTTTAAATAAAATAAGTTATTTTGACAATTACACCTTCTTGAGCTTCAATTTAGCAATATTGGTATTTAAATCAATCATCTAGAACTCCAAGCACCACAGAAGAGCTCGTCCTCACAGTCATGTGTGAAGGCTGAGGCCATATTTTGAGGTAAAAACAAATTTTTCTGCAATTTTAACTGCAATAATCTATACATGATTATGGAATATATGAATTAAATGACATAAAGAAAACAAATAAATATTATAAAATATATAATGAAAGTTGTGGTCCCCAGGAGTCGTGTCACTGGTGTTACTGTGTAACAAAAACTCTCTTATTTTGAAATAAAAGTCACACTGATGACATCACTTGACTTCCTTTTACCTGTTTTCTGAGGATCTATTAAGAAAAGCACATGGTGAGTCCACTGTGTCTTTCAGTTATCAGAGATTTTCTCATTTAGCTCATGATTTCATATGAAGCTTTTAGCTGAAGTCACTGGTGTGACCGACTTTATTCTGAGGTAACTGTGAAAAAATAGAATACAAATGGATTAAATGACATATTTTAGTGGATATTCCATGATTGACATGTGGTTTGATGTTCTGTAGCAGCCGTTTAGTAAAATGCATTGTTCATTAAAAATGTCTCTGGTGTTCCTTTATTATGAGTAACACCAGTGAGGATCAGTAACACCAGTGACTCCTATGGACAGATAGAAAAGTGGACGTTTCTGTAGAATGACCTTTTTACAGAATTCATGATTTTATGCTGATTTCATGTTTTTGTTCATGAATGTTTGCTCATTACAACAACAGCATTCTGCAAATACGTCAAACAGCCGTTGGGAATCCCTGTGGCGTCAACCAGTCCTGCCTGCTAGCCTAGAATCTGATCTATAGGCTAATAAATACAAATTAAAGACAAGCTGGTGCTGCTGCGACTCTAATCTCAGTCTAATCTCAGCACTTCCTCTCTCTCTGTATCTCCCACTCTCTCCTTTTTAGCTAGAGGAAAGACAGATTGAGGTAAGTTACATAGATAACAATCTGTCTTGCTAACTTTAGTTTTAATCTTCCTGTCCTCATCTGACGAGTCATTTCCGTCATTCTCTCTATTGTAATGACTTTAACTAAAGTAACACGGCTGCAATGAGGCAGTCAGCTTATTAGAACATACACCAACCAGGCATAACATTATGACCACCTCCTTGTTTCTACGCTCATTGTCCATTTTATCAGCTCCACTTACTATATAGGTGCACTTTGTAGTTCTACAGTTACAGACTGTAGTCCATCTGTTTCTCTGATACTTTGTTAGCCCCCTTTTACCCTGTTCTTCAGTGGTCAGGACCCCCATGGACCCTCACAGAGCAGGTACTATTTGGGTGGTGGATCATTCTCAGCACTGCAGTAACACTGACGTGGTGGTGGTGTGTTAGTGTGTGTTGTGCTGGTCTGAGTGGATCAGACACAGCAGTGGTGCTGGAGTTTTAAACACCTCAGTGTCGCTGCTGGACTGAGAACAGTCCACCAACCAAACATATCCAGCCAACAGCGTCGTGTGGGCAGCGTCCTGTGACCACTGATGAAGGACTAGAGGATGACCAACACAAACTGTGCAGCAGCAGATGAGCTATCGTCTCTGACTTTACATCTACAAGGTGGACTGACAAGGTAGGTGTGTCTAATAGAGTGGACAGTGAGTGGACACAGTGTTTAAAAACTCCAGCAGCACTGCTGTGTCTGATCCACTCATACGAGCACAACACACACTAACCACCACCGCCACTGAGTTGCTATCTCAACAATTCATTTTTGAGTTGATTTGATTTTTTCAGATTATGTTCTTCCAACTTTCTGTAGTATTGAAGTCGTATTAACTTAATTCTTTCATTAATATGTGCAGTGAGTTTTACAGTGTAGGCATGTTTACGTTTCTCATTTTGGCTGGTGTCCCTTTAAATAACTTACTGAGTTGAATCAGGTGTCTGCATAGAGGAATGACCAAACTGTGCTGGACACTGACCTTCTAGGACAAGAGCTGACCCCTGCTGCGCCCTGTTTTTTAATCAGAACTGTGCCCTTGAGATGTTAAAAGAATGTACACGTACTGTACGTGTGTGTTTCAGATCAGGCAGGCATGTTGCTGTGAAGATCCTGAAGAGTGGATCTGGCTTCACCCAGGCCGGCCAGGATGAACTAACACTACTGCGCTGTGTGAGTCAGTCTCTCTCTCTCTCTCTCTCTCTCTCTCTCTCTTATTTTCCCTTGCTCTCTATCAACTTACTAAGCTCTTCCTCTTGCTCCTCCAGGCCAGTGGTCCTACAGCTCGAAACCCCTTAAAAGGCCGCATTGTGCAGTTGCTGGATGAGTTTAAGATCGTTGGAGTTAACGGAGTCCGTATCCTTTTAATGTCCACATGAATCTTTAGTGCATAGCTCATATCACTAATGCCCTGTGACCTCATTTCTCCATCTGCCTCTATTTGTCAGTGACCAAACTAACAAAATGCATTTTATTCTATGATTTCTGTACTCAAATCAAATCGCTCTGTTGTTGGTTTTAATGAGTTTTGTTGATTTTATTAACAAACGCATGCAAGTCAGTGAAACTGAGTTAGTTCTGTCTTTTGCAATGAAACTAAGTGAGTTGTCAGCTTTACCCAGTAAGCGTTTGTTTAGTCAGTGCAGTCTTGTTGAGTAAAACTCCCGGCATCCTCTATTCATATATTCCTGTTTTACTCATCCCCTTTGTGTTGTCCAGTTACTTAACACAGTTGCATGAACCACTAGACATAACATTTTTTAGTAAATCCAACTTTTCATTTTATTGCATATATTTTTTATTGTATAATAAGTGTTACTGTAAATAAAATGTTTTGAAAGTTTTATCATGGATAATAGATATAACAGATATCAAATATTATTATATAATATATACCAGATCAGTTTGTGTTAGATATAAACTAGTGTTCAAAAGAATAATATTTATTATGTAACATTGGAATGCTAGATAGTCAACAATGCAAAACCATGTGTATAAAATGATTTTAATGTGCTAGCTCTGCACAACTCCGCAGCTTCCAAATAATTAGTAGGGAAGAGGAAGCTGTAAATAAAAAATAAGACATGTTAGATGTGTGTTCAGAATGAACAGAAAACTGCCTAGCATAGAAAATTAAGTTAGTGTTGAATTTATTATAACTTAATTCTCACTGCTGTACAGCTTTCTCAGTCAGTTTAGAATCAAATGGAGTCAAATGTCAATGCAGATAACTTCACCAAAAAATAAAAAATTGATCCAATCCTGTAACAAATCTTATTAGTCATTTTAAAAGAAGAAATATCGGATCAATGTAGGCCGATATGCAAGACTTTACTATCCATATCAGAAAAGAAAATTTGGCATTGTTCCATCTCTAGTTTATAGAAGTTACTTAATAGTGCACTGGAACATTAAAAACTGAATAAGCGTCCAGTTTAAATGGCCCATATTATAGAAAACCAAATTAGTATGAAGTAACATGTAAACATTCTTAAAGTTTCTCTTTCTAGTCCATGCAGTCCATATATGGAAACCATGCTGCAAAAATAGCCTGTATTAAACTCCGTCTCTGTGATGTCACAAGAACCCACTCACTTACATACATACATCATCTAAACCGCTTATCCTTCTGGGTCACGGTGGGGTGCTGGAGCCTATCCCAGCTGTCATTGGGCGGAAGGCAGGATACACCCTGGACAGGTCGCCAGTCCATCGCAGGGCAGACAGACAGACAGACATATACAATCACACACACACTCACACCTAGGGGCAATTTAGCATGTCCAATCAGCCTGACTGCATGTCTTTGGACTGTGGGAGGAAACCGGAGTACCCGGAGGAAACCCACACAGACACGGGGAGAACATGCAGACTCCACACAGAAATGACCCTGGTCACCCAGCCAGGAATCGAACCCAGGCCCTTCTTGCTGTGAGCCGACAGCACTACCCACTGCACCACCGTGCCGCCCCACTTACATACAATGGCCAAAAAGTATGTGAACCCTTTTGAATTATCTGCATTTATGCGTAATATTGTCTTAAAATATGGTCTGGTCTTTATCTAGGTTACTATTAAATACGAGCACGATCTGTTTATACTAATAAAACATTAAACAATGTATTATTCTTGTCCCTGTTAAATATATCGTTCAGTGTAGATTGGAAAAAGTTTATGAAGGCGCCCAACCAAGGTCACCAAAGGCACAATGCAGAATGCTCAATAAAGGATAAAAGAGGCCCAGAGAAACCGCTAAAGGCTTTAAGGAATCATTAGAACCGGTTAACATCTCTGTTAATGAATCTACCGTACAAAAACATTGAACTGCTGCTCTCCGAACACAAAAACTTCGCTGTAAGCCAAGTTTGCCACCTTATTATGGAAAAATGTCTGGTGGGCTGAAGAAAATAAGGTTGAATTGTTCAGGAGGAACACAAAGCACTACATATGGCATAGCAGAGCTTAAGCAGTTTTGTAAGGAAAAACAGTCCAGCAGGGGCGTGTCTTCAGTTGGGCTGGGGTGGGCGTTGTCCACCTAGAGATAAGCCTTGTCCTCCCAGAGGAATCATCTGCCCATCCAAAGAAAACCCTGAATAAAATCACCATTATAGCTGTTTTTTGAGTGTTCATAGTTTTTTGTCATGGACAATTTTGTTACTGCTCATCTAAAATGCGCTGCTTTCCTATTGGCCGTTCTGAAGGTGGGTGTGTTTAGTCAGAGCTCCTCCTTGTCATTATCGACAAACCAGGCACTTCTTCAACATACGCAGTACAGACATGGTGAACCGACATTGGGCCTTAAAGACTCTGACTCACCACTGTTCTCTTATCTGGGATTTGTTCTTAGGTAAGCACAGAATCTACACACTCAAGAGCACAAAGGGGAGAACAGTTCTGCGCTTTAAGAACTTGTCATGAATCTGACGTAGACTTTTTCTTAGGACCTTTCTCAAGAACACATTAAGAAAACTTAGATACTGATGAATGAGGCCCATTGCTTTTGTTGCCCACCCAAATCATTCAAATGCCCACCCAAAGATCCTAGTGACAGCTCTCCAGTCCAGTATTCCTCTTAAACATTATGCTGGTCTGATTTACAGCTGCCGGAAGTGCCTGATTGAAGTTTGGCCAGTTATTACATCCAAAGGTTTACTTGCTTTTTCCACCAGTGCTGTGACTGTTTAATTGGTGCGCTCATAAAGACATACAATATTGTAATTATTTTTACGCTGTTAGCCTTAGAGCATTGCATTTGTCCATGTTTCAACAGGTCACATTTTATGACCAACTAATGCAGAAAACTAGGCCATTCCAAAGGGTTCACATCATTTTCCTTGCCACTGTCTACCCACCTATTCAGCCTGCACTGTTAGAAATGAAGGTTCTGTTCAGGTACATTTTTCATTTATCAAGGTACAAACAGTGTAAATGTTCCCTCAAAGCTCCAACAGTGGTTTTAAGGTCTGATTGTGAACCTTAAATAAGTTTTTCCAGGTGAAAAGTTCGTATTTGTACCTTTTCATAACCGAATGTTTTAAACAGAACAGTAAAATAAAAGCCTGGAGACGAGACGGGGTGTGTGGAGTCAGTACAGCTTAGAACATATCATTTCAGTGGATTATGGTTCAGTTATGTTCCCTGACTGAAGGTACTGAGATGGACCCTTGAGGGTCCCACCCCAGTGACAAGAGGGCCACTGACCCAGCGACAGTTTAGTACCTTTATTTCTGAGAGTGTACAGCAGTTTAGCTCTGCCCATTCATACTGAAGTTCTACAGTGTTTCAGCTCTGGGTGCTTTTTGAATACAAGACAGCCAATCAGAACATGGCTCATTTACATATATCAAATAAAAAAATGACAAATAGGATGAAGGCATTTACAGACTCAGAGCAGAATGGGATACTTTGATTCTTGACTTGCTGATGCAGACATATGTCTGGTGCTGGAGCTGCTAGGGCCAGACCTTCGCTGCTGGCAGGTGTGTTTCGGCAAACCTGGTCTGTCGCTCGGCTGTGTGAGGAGAGTAATCGCTCAGGTGAGTCGTGCGTTCTGCATATCAGAGCCCTGGAAGCTACATGAGCCCTATGTGCTTTAATAAGGAATGCCATGTTGCTTTTACAAGTACTGGGTCCTGCTACCTTCTTCTTTCTCAGGTGCTTGAGGGTCTTGACTATCTGCACACCCACTGTAAGATCATCCATACTGACATCAAGCCTGAGAACATTCTGCTGTGCCTGGAGCAGCAACCTCCAGCAAACACAGCAGGCCACAGGCCCACAACACACACAGATACAGGTAGGACATCCCAGGAGAAAATCAGCATCCACTGTAAATCTGAAGCAGAAGTTAAAACTGTTTTAAGAAGGTTTGGTGCATTCAGTGATCTTTTGTCTCTCCTACTTACCAAACAAATCTAGAGAACGTTTCAGTGAAGATTGCAGATCTAGGCAGCTCTTGCTGGGTGGTGAGTCCAAGGCTGCAGCCTTCATAAACTTCTATGGTACTGTGACATACTGCTTTGACCAGCTACCTGCATGTCTACAAAAATTAAATGAAATCTCTCCCTCATTTTGTTCCAGTACAAGCACTTCTGTGAGGAGATCCAGACCCGGCAGTATCGCTCGCTAGAAGTTCTGCTGGGCTCAGAGTACGGCCCTCCTGCTGATATCTGGAGTGTAGCCTGCATGGTCAGTCTTCAAGGCCTTAACCAAACATTGCATTCATCAGAAATGAGCTCCCCTAACTGTGCACTTCCAAGACGCTCTTAAGAGGGTTAAGCTGAACCATACAGTGAGTTCAGTTCTTTAGAAATCGAGGGGAACCAGATGTCCTGAGCGTTTAATGCTTCTGAAAGCTCCCTCACAGAAAGTCGTTACAATGATTACAAACATGTTGCCTGATGCCTCAGACATTGAGTGCGTTTACATGCACTCAGGAATCCGATCATAATCAGATTTCTGCAGTTATTTAATTATTCATATAGTCATGTAAACGTCATCCTCCAATTTCTTAGATTGGAATAAGGTCTAGAAATCCAATCAAGTAATCCAATTAAAGAGGCTGGATTTTAGCTCAGTAATCAGATTTCCCAGTGCATGTAAACTCTTACTCGGATTTCTTTCGGATTTGAAGCGACACTGAAACCAACTACATGTTTGACGAAACTAACTACATGTTTTAATATTCTTCATTTTCTAGATGATGTATGTTCCATATTTTCAGGTAAAATGGTGCAATGTTTTAAAAAAAAAGCTGCAGCATGAAGTTTGAGTTTTACGTTATGTTTACATCGCGTTCTCTTCTGTAAGTTTATTGGCTAGTTACAAAGCAGAAATCTGATTACTGCCTGACTCATGTTGACTTGGAGTTTCAAATTATCTGATTACTCAAGAGCATTTAAACACGGATTGATCGGATTACTGACAAAATCTGATTTTCTGCAGTTATCGGATTATTAAGTGCTTGTAAACACACTCACTGTTGTTTTTTTTTATATTTTCAAAACAAAGTTTTGATCTAAAACTTACGTTTAAAAATACATTAATGGCAGAGAGGTACATGCAGCGTGTTGTAAGGCAAAATAGTCCCCAAAGAAAACTTATTTTTAGATGTAAATCACCTAATTCAACTAACTCACATATGCCCTCACTCATTCATGTTTAGCAGGCCAAAAATTCGCCACGAGGGGGCACCATTATACCGTTATCAACATTGCTTATAAAAAATATGTGTAGGTTCAAAATGTCTATTTGTGATGTTGACATTACAAAACACCATTATAACACCATTACAGCGGGACACAGATTCCGCAGGCTCCATAAAGATCCGATCTGCTTTTACTCTGCTTTGCAAAACTTTTCACAGGCGGATTCCTCACGGTTCGGGTGTAGAAATCAGAAATGCCATTCACTGATACATTTTGAAGAATACTATTCACTCGTTTTTACACTGACCTCATGAGCTGAGTTCATGAAAATGACTCCAACCCAGTCATACAAACCCAGATGTTGTGTTTGGGCGCAACATGGATAAATAAAGGAATGATGCACTTTACCTTGAGTGCTATAGATCTTAATATTTGGCCCAGATTTTCAAAGCCACATTTCTGTTTTCCCAAGGCATTTGAGCTTTCCACCGGAGACTCTTTATTTGAGCCCAAAGCTGGAAAGAATTTCTCTTTGGAAGAAGGTATGCTGATTAAGTTATGAATCTATTTGGAACGTCTAACAAAAAATAAATAGTTTTGGTGTTTATACTGACCATTTTGTGCCTTTCAGACCACCTTGCACACATCATTGAACTCTTAGGGAAGATCCCTGCGTCAGTAGCCCTGTCTGGCAAATATTCATCTGAGTACTTCAACCGGAAAGGTGAGTAGAAAATCTCTACAAGTGGCATAATTAGCATAAAACATACACCGATCAGCCATAACATTCTGACCACCTCCTTGTTTCTACGCTCATTGTCCATTTTATCAGCTCCACTTACTATATAGGTGCACTTTGTAGTTCTACAGTTACAGACTGTAGTCCATCTGTTTCTCTGATACTTTGTTAGCCCCCTTTTACCCTGTTCTTCAGTGGTCAGGACCCCCATGGACCCTCACAGAGCAGGTACTGTTTGGGTGGTGGATCATTCTCAGCACTGCAGTAACACTGATGTGGTGGTGGTGTGTTAGTGTGTGTTGCACTGGTCTGAGTGGATCAGACACAGCAGTGCTGCTGGAGTTTTTAAACACCTCAGTGTCACTGCTGGACTGAGAATAGTCCACCAACCAAAAACATCCAGCCAACAGCGTCCTGCGGGCAGCGTCCTGTGACCACTGATGAAGGACTAGAGGATGACCAACACAAACTGTGCAGCAGCAGATGAGCTATCGTCTCTGACTTTACATCTACAAGGTGGACTGACAAGGTGGGAGTGTCTAATAGAGTGGACAGTGAGTGGACACAGTGTTTAAAAACTCCAGCAGCACTGTGTCTGATCCACTCATATCAGCACAACACACACTAACACACCACCACCACGTCAGTGTTACTGCAGTGCTGAGAATGATCCACCACCCAAATAGTACCTGCTCTGTGAGGGTCCATGGGGGTCCTGACCACTGAAGAACAGGGTAAAAGGGGGCTAACAAAGTATCAGAGAAACAGATGGACTACAGTCTGTAACTGTAGAACTACAAAGTGCACCTATATAATAAGTGGAGCTGATAAAATGGACAATGAGCATAGAAACAAGGAATAATGTTATGCCTGATCGGTGTATTTAGCATAAATCTCACAATTAATAAGTTAACCATGATGAGTCACACAAGGCCTTAGAAGACTTTAAGAAGACCAGTTGTCCAATGCAAGGAACAGATAGGTCCTCTCATTGGCCCATGCTTATGTATGATGACGCAGGTGACCTCCAGAGGATTCCTGCCCTGCGTCCATGGGGGCTGTATGAAGTCCTGGTGGAGAAATATCAATTTCCTCTCCAAGAGGCCGTCCTCTTCTCCGATTTCCTGCTTCGGATGCTGGACTTCCTGCCTGAGCGGAGAGCGACGGCAGCTCAGTGTCTAAAACACCCCTGGCTTAAACTGTGACCTTACATTCCCTTTGACATAAAAGACTTTTATCTAACATTTTAATAGATTAAAGAGCTTCACACCTTTGCCTTAGTAGCTTTTTAGCCAAATTTGCCTCAAAACTTGAATATATATAGTAAATAAATCTAGTAAAAACTTGAATTTATAGAGAAAGGTTTATGTATTGTCTTGAAGTTAATCCCTCATCTAAAATTCCACACTTCTGTTTGTTTTTGATACATATCGCTGCTGTCGGAAGGAAACCTAGTATCCCCATTTTTGTCATTTTTCAGTTTTTTACATAATTTGAAAATGCCTGTTGTTCTTTACATTGTGTGTAAATTTCATGATGAATGGACCAAAAGAAATGGTCCAAAATGACTTGGGAAAAATTCTGGTTCCATTGACTTACATTAAAAGTATAGTAGGTTTTTTCCTTCTCCTGTAAAGTTACCATTTTGGAGATACGAGGTTTTCTTCCCACAACAGTGTTATGTAATATGCAGAAAGTCAACTGACTTCACCTTGCTTTGTATTTCTTTTCAAATTTAAGATACATTTGGTTGGGAAATGCATCAAATGTCAATACACAACTAAAAAACTTGAATAATAGTGGATTTGTTTTCTGTTTTGAGTGAGTAACGTATTCATGTAATGTTGGGAATGATGCTTTAAAGTCCTGACATGTGCAGCACAGACAGTAAGCAATTGATGTGATTTGTGTTGCTTTGATCTGTAATCCTGCACATTTTGTTTAAAATGACGTTATGACTTTGCAATTATTATAGAGTGTTAGTGCTGTATTTGTATGATTTTGCTGTGTTTTTTAAGAATATGTGAAAATACAGAAAAGAACCATTTATCCTGTAAAGTAACAGCAACAATACAGAATATTAATAGAAAAATTAAGTGTTCAAAAGTAGTTGTGTTTGCTTCTCTATGTTATAAGACATGCTTGTACAGCCACAATTTACAGTTAAGAGTTAATCTCAAACAAAAAAATGTTTTTGCAAAAGTAGAGCTACTGTGCTAATACTGTTGCTATATGTTTTGCAGCTGCTTATTCAAACATTCCTGTGCTTTTGCTGGATAAGTAACATGGCAGCACAGTGAACTACTGTCAGAGATAAACGCTAATTTTGCAATTATTTTCATGTGTTTATATAGTCATTAACAATGTATACACACAACTATGTACTTAAAAAGACTAACTGATGACAGATAAAAAGACTGATGACTTGATAGTGATGAATACTTATTTTATGTAAATTTGCAGAAATTTCTGGTAAAATATCTATCAGTGTCATTAACATAACAGCGTTCTGTCACCTCAGAGACTTGAGACCTGACTCCAATGTGTATCACAGAGACTCGAGATTCCACCCAGGCTTGCACCCCTGAGACTCCAGACTTGACTCTCAAGACTCTGACCTGCACCTCAGAGACTCAGGACTTGACTCAGAGTCATATTTCAGACTCAAGATTCCACTCTGACTCGCTTCGCTGAGACTGCAGACTTGATTTAGACTCGTACCCTGGAGACTCTAGACTCAACTCAGACTTGCACCTCAGAAACTTGAGGCTCAATTCACATCTCACCAACTTCAGACTCAACTCAATTCACACCTCAGAGACTCTAGACTCAACTTGGACTTGTATCCCAGAGACTCAGACTCGCACCTCAGAGACTCGAGAGTCGCCTCAGACTTGTACCTCAAACTCTTGATAATTGAGACCTCAGAGACTCAAGACTTGACTCAGACTCAAAGCTCAGAGACTCGAGACACAAGTCGGACTTGCACCTTAGAGACCCGAGACTTGACTCATACTCATATTTCTTGAGATTCCACTTGGACTTGCACCACTGAGACTCCAGGCTCGGCTCAACTCAGACTCCAGACTCAACTCAGAGATTTGAGACTCAACTCAAACACCCACCTTAGACTCTAGACTCGTCTCGAACTCGTACCCCCAGACATTTTAGACTCGACTCCGACTTACACATCAAAGACCTAAGACTCAACTCAGATTCGCACCTCAGAGACTCCAGACTCAGACTTGCATCTCAGACACTCAAGACTCCACTCGGACGCCCAGAGACTCCAGACTCGACTCAGATTTGCACCTCAGAAACTTGAGACTCTACTCAGACTTGAGACTCGATTCAGACTCAGAGATTTGAGACTTGGGCTCAGGCTTGCAGGAAGCAAGTTGTGAGCATCTCTGCTGTGAGCTGTTAGACTACGTCTTGCTGGTGATTGTTTGCATCTCAGATTAAGGGTCCACAAGCTTTCCATACGGGCCTTGTTATGAAAACCTGCAACAGTATTTATCAGTGTTTATTTAAGATGACACCACTATTTGGCAAAACAATAAAAAAAAAACGTTCACAAGAAGCCTATAGAAGCTGTTATCTTTAACAGTGGCGTCATTTTAAATACATACTAATAAACAGTGTTGCAGGTCTTTTTTGTCGCAAGAACCGTCTTCGGATTGTTTGGATGTTTAAGAGTTTGTGTAATTTAATATTGACTATGAACTATTCCATTTGAATAATGACACATAGATACATATTAGATCAGGTGTGTTCAGCTCTGGTACTGGACGGCTGTTGTCCAGCACAGTATGGTGATTTTCCTGCTCCATCTCACCTGATTCCACTCAGCACTGAGTTAGCAGGCTCATTCGGTGTGCTACAGCAGGGAAAGTAGCGAATATAATAAAGAAAATAAAGAATTAGCTCAGATGGACAATCAAAAATTATTTTATAGCCAAAAAAGTTCTAGCAACATCAATGCATCAATATGCTAGTAATAAATCTTATATGAAGATATAAATGAAGCATCTTTCCACTGATAATATAAGCACTTTACGCCTCTGTGCTCTCTGAGTCTGTTAAGTGCTTCTCTTGAATGAGTTTGATGCCATGCTTAGCATCAGTGGCCTCCTCAATAGCAGCAAGCTCTCTGGCAGAACCGATCTGAAGCTCCTCCTGCTTCCTCTCTCGCTCTTCCTTCTCCAGCCATCTGTAGTTGAAGAAGTTCATGATGAAGAGAAAGAGTCCCGGGACCAGCATCATAACGCCACATGCATAGTACATGTACTTATAGTCCATGAAGATGTCGACCAACGCTCCTAAAGGAGAAAGGGTCAACACCAAAAACCATCAGGTGATAAACACAAATACATGGTAATATACATCGATCAGGCATAACATTCTGACCACCTCCTTGTTTCTACGCTCATTGTCCATTTTATCAGCTCCACTTACTATATAGGTGCACTTTGTAGTTCTACAGTTACAGACTGTAGTCCATCTGCTTCTCTGCATACTTTGCCCCCTTTTACCCTGTTCTTCAGTGGTCAGGACCCCCATGGACCCTCACAGAGCAGGGACTATTTGGGTGGTGGATCATTCTCAGCACTGCAGTAACACTGATGTGGTGGTGGTGTGTTAGTGTGTGTTGCGCTGGTCTGAGTGGATCAGACACAGCAGTGCTGCTGGAGTTTTTAAACACCTCAGTGTCATTGCTGGACTGAGAATAGTCCACCAACCAAAAATATCCAGCCAACAGCGTCCTGTGACCACTGATGAAGGACTAGAGGATGAACAACACAAACCGTGCAGCAGCAGATGAGCTATCGTCTCTGACTTTACATCTACAAGGTGGACTGACAAGCTAGGAGTGTCTAATAGAGTGGACAGTGAGTGGACACAGTGTTTAAAAACTCCATCAGCACTGCTGTGTCTGATCCACTCATACCAGCACAACACACACTAACACACCACCACCACGTCAGTGTTACTGCAGTGCTGAGAATGATTCTCCACCCAGATAGTACCTGCTCTGTGAGGGTCCATGGGGGTCCTGACCACTGAAGAACAGGGTAAAAGGGGGCTAACAAAGTATCAGAGAAACAGATGGACTACAGTCTGTAACTGTAGAACTACAAAGTGCACCTATATAGTAAGTGGAGCTGATAAAATGGACAATGAGTGTAGAAACAAGGAGGTGGTCAGAATGTTATGGCTGATCGGTTTATATACATACACTTAACATGGATTTGCATATTAGTCTAAGATCATGTAGTTGTGTAACTGCTGTTCAAGAGTTTGGAATCACTTGTCATGTACAAATAATACACAATAATAATATAATATACAACTATGGAAGACTTAAAGGCTGAGGATTCACCTATTTTATTTACCCACTTTTAACTGGATAATAACAGGATCATGTTCTTGAGATCTTGAGAAAATCTAATGTTGTTTTCTTGAGATAACAGCACAATTATTTTGAGATCTCGCTGATTCAAATCATTTTCATGAGATATGAGGCCATCACACAAACATATGGATGGAAGTTCATGACTAAATGATCCCATTATCTCAGGAAAACAATATTTATTATTTCATGATAATGACAAATAATTTGAGATCTTGAGAAAAGCATCATCACGGGAAACAAAATAAGTGAAATATGTAAATCCATGGTCTTCTAGGTCCTCCATATCAAACAAAGATGAAGCTCATATACAAGTATACAAAAACTGCATATATTTGTTTGCAAAAGTTTAAACGCCTCTGGTTAAATTACATGTTTTGTTAAGTGGAAAATAATACATCCTCTACAGTAAACAAAGATATGGGACGTTTTAAGCACAATTACTTGCTGAAAGAATGAAGCATATTATATGTGCCACAACCTTTGTACGTCATAATTCATGTTTATTTTTGCCCAATAAACAGTAATTATGCATTCAATTATGCAGAACTGTGCAATAATTTTTCACATAGATAATAATATACTAATATATTTGCAAACATTTTCGTCAAGTTATCCGCCTCAAGATTTGATCACCACTTTTGAAATATTAGTGTATCATATAACTTTAATTTTATTAACATTCTTGATGATATACTTTCTTTTTAGAATCATATGCAGCTCTGGATACATCTGAACTTGTAATGTTGCACAGTTTAACATATTAGAATCATTCTGTACATTTATCTTCAAACTAATTGGTTTGATATTATTGATAAAGTTAATTCCAAACTTTTGATCTGCAATTTTTCAACTTACCAGAAATCGGAGGCCCCAGGAGAACAGGGCAGCATTCTATGATGGTGGCGAGGCCAACAGCACTGGAGAACCGCTGGGCTCCCACCAAATCCATCAGCACCTCGAAAAGCAGCGCACACACCATCCCAAAGGCCAGCCCGAAGAACACAGCATACGCCACCAGGCCTGTATATCCAGGCAGCAGGGGTAGAACTAAATGACACACCCCGTTATATGCCACAGAGAAGCTAAAGAAGTACTGAATCCGGGGCCGGATCCATTTGGTGTTGGCCACCAGGCCGGTCCCTGGCCGAGCCACCATGTCCACCAGAGCAAAGATTGAGAGCAGGAAGGCTGCAGAGTACTCATCAATGCCCTGGTGCTTGGCGTAGGGGGCCAGGAACACGACAGGGGCAAAGAAGCCGAAAAACATCACCACATTCCCCGCTAGATAGATGAGGTAGCCGCGATGCTTGAAGAGAGTCAGGTCGATGAATTCGTTCACTCGTGCTGCACATCCTGCCTCCTTGGGCTGCTGCTTCCCATTAAGTAAGCCAACCACTTGAGGGTCAGTATCCCCCTCTCCTTTGCCCACCTCACCAGCTGCTCCTTGGCCACTAGCACTTTGGCTCACAGGTGGCTTCGTTTTGATGTTAATGGGTCTCATCAAGGCTCCAGCCACGCAGCAGTTGAGCACTATGGCTCCCAAGACGAAGAAGCTCCCTCTCCAGCCAAAGTTGTCAAACAGAAACTGGTTTAGTGGCGCCAGAGTGCACAAAAATACTGGACTTCCTGCCATAGCCAAACCATTGGCGATTGGCCGCTTCACAAGGAAGTATTTCCCAATGATGGTCAGCGCAGGTTGTAGGTTAAAGGCAAGGCCAATACCTGAGAAATGGCATGATACAAAGACACCTTAATAGACGTTTTGTCTCATCTTTTAATACAAAACATTGCTTTATTTATTTGACCACACACTTGTCAGGAATGTTTTTGGAGACTTAAAGCTGCCTAAAAGAGTTTTTCTCTGTAAAGGACTTTATTTCTTCATTAAATTATTTCTTTTTTCCTTCTTCTGTTCAATTACCATATTGGAGATAGAAGTCTTCGTCATAACTGTAAATACACCGACCAGCCACTTCATTAAGCACACCTCCTTCTTTCTACACTCTTTGTCCATTTTATTAGCTCTGTTTACCATACAGGAGCACTTTGTAGAGACTGTAGTCCATCTGTTTCTCTGCACACTTTGTCAGCCCCCTTTTACCCTGCTTTTCAATGGCCAGGACCCCCACAGGACCCACATGGATCATTCTTAGCACTGCGGTGACACTGACAGCGTGGTGGCATATTAGTGTGTCGCACTGGTACGAGTGGATCAGACACAGCAGTGCTGCTGGAGTTTTAAAACACCTCAGTGTCACTGCTGGACTGAGAATAGTCCACCAACCAAAAATATCCAGCCAGCAGCGTCCTGTGGGCAGCGCCCTGTGACCACTGATGAAGGACTAGAGGATGACCAACACAAACTGTGCAGCAGCAGATGAGCTATCGTCTCTGACTTTACATCTACAAGGTGGACCGACAAGGTAGGAGTGTCTAATAGAGTGGACAGTGAGTGAACAGCACTGCTGTTCAACAAACCTGATAAAATGGACAAAGAATGTTGATACAAAGTAGATGTACTTAACAAAGTGACCAGTCGGTGTAAATGTGTCTTTGTAAATGTAGTGATGGCTGAAAACTGAATACACTGTCCTAAATGTATTCAGTAACATATTCAATTACAATAAAAGCATGATTTCCATAATCCATTTAGAACACATCTTAATAAAGCCCTTGGGGATTTTGGCTCTCATTGTTTGCTTCAGTCCACTGAAGCTCCCACAATCCCACTGCAGTCTCATGAACTAAGCAAGCAATTCACCATATCACACTAACAAAATTTCACTCTTGAACATGTCCACGACTGTTCGGATCCATCATCCCTCAAAAGAGTTTACTAATGCTGAGATTAATAAACAGCTCTTCATTTTGGTTTATCAGTCTACTCAGGCTTCAGCAGGAGCTTCAGTTTAGAAAGAAGTTGTTTCTTTACATGCTGTGCGCTGATTTTTAAATAGCTAATAAACAAGCATTAATGGTGTTTCTGTGTCATACCAATGGTACAACCCCATTTCCAAAAAAGTTGGGACACTGTGCAGAATGTAAATAAAAACAAAATGCAATCATGTGCAAATCATTTAAACCCTATATTTATTTATGAAAATAGACAACAAAAGACAACAAATCAGATGTTCAAACTGAGAATTTTTTTTTGTTTTTTGAAAAATATTTGCCCATTTTGAATTTGATGCCAACAACACATTCCAAAAAAAGTTGGGACGGGGGCAACAAAAGGCTGGTGAAGTTGTGTAATGGTGCCTGGTGGTTGATTGACAACAGGTCAGTAAAATGATTGGGTATAAAAAGAGCATCTCAGAGAGGCGGAGTCTTTCAGAAGTAAAGATGAGGAGGGGTTCACCACTCTGTGAAAGACTGTATGATCAAACAGTGCAACAATTCAAAAATAACGTTTCTCAACATAAAATAGCAAAGAACTTTGCTTTTCATCATCTACGGTACATAATATCATTAAAAGACTCAGAGAATCTGGAGAAATCTCTGTATGTAAGAGACGAGGCCAAAAACCAGTATTTGCTGGCCGTGATCTTTGGGCCCTCAGACAGCACTGCATTAAAAACAGACATGATTCTGTAGAGGAAATCACTGCATGGGCTCAGAAACACTTCTGAAAACCACTGTCTGTGAAAACAGTTCATCACTGCATCCACAAATGCAAGTTAAAACTCTAAAATGCAAAGAAGAAACTGTACATAAACAGGATCCAGAACGCTGCCGCCTTCTCTGGGCCTGAGCTCATTTAAAATGGACTGAGGCGAAGTGGAAAAGTGTCCTGTGATTCGACGAATCGACATTTGTAATTGTTTTTGGAAATCATGGACACTGTGTCCTCCGGGCTAAAGACCCCTCAGCTTGTTATCAGTGCACAGTTCAAAAGCCAGTATTCATGATGGTATAGGGGGCATTAGTGCACATGGCATGGGTGACGTGCACATCTGTGAAGGCACCATTAAAGCTGAATGAAATAAACGTGTTTTGGCAACATATGCTGCCATCCAGACGACGTCTTTTTCAGGGAAGGCCTTGATTATTTCAGCAAGACGATGTCAAACCACATTCTGTATGTATTACAGCAGCATTGCTCCGTATTAAAAGAGTCCAGGTGCTAAACTGACCTGCCTGCAGTCCAGACCTGTCACCACTGAAAACATCTGACGCATTATGAAATGAAAAATACGACAAAGGAGACCCTGAACTGATGAGCAGCTAAAATCCTATGTCAAAAAAATATATAAATATTTCCACATAAAAGTGGAAAAACATTTCACTTTCAGAACTACAGCAGTGTCTCCTCGGTTCCCAAACGCTTACAGAGTGTTGTTAAAAGGTGATGTGAGGTGATGAAACACAGTGGTAAACAGGCCCCCGTCCTAACTTTTTTGGAATGTGTTGTTAGCATCAAATTCAAAATGGACATATATATTTCAATAAACAATAAACTCTCTCAGTTTCAACATTTGATCTGTTGTCTTTGTAGTATAATCTTTTAAAAATATGGTTTGCATGATTTGCGTATCATTACATTCTATTTTTATTTACATTTTGCCCAGCGTCCCAACTTTTTTGGAAAATGGGGTTGAACCTTCCAATGGATGTTTCTTTAAAGGGCCATTTTTGTAGATCAGAAGTGTGAGTGTGAATAGCCTTTTGCACTTTTTGAGAACCTCCACATTATGTAATAGTTCTATACCAATTAAACCATTTTCCTAGAACATACATCCAAGCTGGAAACAATGCAGGAACCTCCTTTTTTAAATGCTAGATCGTATTCTAGCACCTTTTGGCAAAGCAACTACGAGCTCAAAGTGACCACGGGAGCAATGCCTGATTCTGCTTTTGACCTCCAGCTATCATTAACCACACACACAAACAGACTCAGGGGAGGCTCCCAACGTTCAGTGAACCTGACTAATCAGACTTACTGACCAACATGTCCTTCCACACAGTAACCCGGTTCTACTCAGCAGTGATCTACGCATGTCGTGACAAACGATCAGAGATTTACCTCCAATGACTCCTACGCATAAGTACAGATGCATTATGGTAGTGCCAAAGGAAGCAGAGACCATAGCGACCCCAACCATGAGGCCGCCAACCATGACCACTGGCCGGCTTCCATAGCGATTGACCAGTATACTGCTCACGGGTCCTGCAGAGAGAGAGAGACGAGTCGGTGGACATGAGAAGAGCCGAGGAGGCAAGAGGTCACACGAAGGATGGCGCTTGGGTTCAAAGCTAATACTGAGAATTTCACTGATGAACAGAACCACATGATTGCAAAGTAAGAGGAGTTACACAACTGTGGGCCATCCATGCAACCTTTGCTTAACCACCTGCTGTATTTGATATATATTGGGTATATTGGACTGAGCAAAATATTTATGGGACTGAAATAAACAAATAAACACACATAGGCAACCCCCTCACCTCCTGCATACATGGTAGCGAGCATGATGGAAGAAACCCATGCGATCTCGCTGTAGGAGATGGAGAAGTACTCCTGGATCTCCTTGAAGTAGATGGTGAGGGATTTGGGAAAGGCGTAGGAGAAGCCAATGGAGATGAAGGATCCAAACACCACCGCCCACCCCCAGCCTCCGTCAGGAGGAGTGTAGCCCAGATTAGTAGCAGTTGCAGGGGGCATTGTGGGTGCTTTCCAAACAGACAAAGAAAGTATGTAAGTGGTGGCATGGGTGATGAAGCAATACTAAAAGGGGAAATTTTAAAAATTTCAGCCTAACTCAGTTGCTGAGATGTAAACAATGCCGTTCAGAGTGGTTTGATGTGAAATGGTTTATGGCAGATAAACTTACAGACTCAGAGTTCTTTACAGTGGTGGTGATAGGAACCAGGGGTTGCAATATTTACAGCTACGGAAATATACAGTGCAGTCCAAAGGTCTGACCACATTGAAAATCCGGTATTTTTTCATTTAAACCTGAAAATAAACAACAGAAAGTTTGAGAAATTAAAAAATTTAAAACAGAAAAAGTTCTGACAGTTAAAACGAAAAAGAAATATTGAAAATTCTGCACTATTCCTTGGTCACTATTCAAATCGAAGGCCTTTGTACAAAGAGGTTAATGTTTTTGTTCTGTTTTTTTTTTATTATTATTATTTTTCAGTCTTATTCCTTCCTTTGAAACATGTTCGAGCGACTCTCAGGTGGATTTGATCTACTGATCAGAGGCTTTTGCACAAACTTGTGGAGACCATGCCAGCTTGAGCCCATGCTGTTATTAAAGCAAACATTAAGAAATTCAAATTCATGAACACACTCGAAGATTCTAGTTTTCACTCAAATATTTAGGCTAATAATATGATTTCTAAAAAAAAAAATTGTATTAAATTAGAATTGAATGCAAAATAAAAGCATTTCAACCAGTGGTCTCAGACGTTTGGACCCCCCACTGTAGCTATTTCATTTATTATCCAAAACCACAAATGAACCTTTGTGTCATGTTAAGCATATCTGTAACTATTTCATGTAATAAATTCCTATCAGTTCACTTTTACATACATTAAACACTTCAAACGTTTGGTTCATGATATGATAAATATGCTCTCATAAACAAAGATCTTATACTATAATCCGGTATATGGTTCTTGAAGGGTTCTTTAATAAAGAAAATGGTTATATAAAGAACCATCAGCACTCAAAAACTCTTTGCGTGATTAAAGGAGTCTTTGCATCGGGAAAGCGATCTTCAGATTGATGGACGATGTTCTATATAGAACCTTTTTGAAGAGGGTTCTTCTATTGTTACGATGTCAAGCTTATAATAATAGAAGAATCCTTTTTGGTGCTGTGTAGAACCATCAGCACCACATTCTCCATCAGTCTGAAGAACGCTTTCACGATGCAAAGACTCCTTTAATCATGCTGTGTTCTAGATTCTATATAGAACCATTTTCTTTACTAAAGAACCCTTGACGAACCATCTTTTAATTTGTGTACATTCATTTGTTTGCAGAATATAGTTCACCTCTCGAGATATGCCTTTATATACTGCTTTGCAGTCTCGTTCAAAGGGCTTTTGTTATTTTATATACAATAATAACTGCAAATAATAATAAATGAAAATATAATATTACAAACTATTTAGCAAAAGATATTTTTAAAAAATACAAAATTGTCAAATTTCAAAAACAGTGAACAAGTGAATAAAATAATAAATAATATACTATAAATATCTATTAATATTATTGTGTGCCAAAACATGCATTTTGAGATTTGATCTCCAATATTGAAATGTGATAAATAATGAATGTTAATTTTATTAAGATTTTCAATGTTATCCAGCTTTTTCAGTCATGTCAGAATATTCTACAGCTCCAGTAATGTGTTACTAATGGTTTGAAAGCTGTGAAAGTGCACAGGAACAGCTCATTAGAACAGTTTCATACACTTATCTGCAGCAAGATTGGTTTCATGTTATTAAACACATTAAACACATTTGAACGTTGCGAATTTTTTTAACAGAAATTGCAATTTTTTTTTTCTGTAATGTGCATTTTTTTAATCTGTCATGATTCAGTAATTTAAATTCCACTAAAATGATTGAAAAACGAACTCTGACATCACGATATGACTCGTCTCATCTAAAATCTGTTCAGATATGTTGACATGACTGTCTTGTTTGTTATGGACTTACCTCTGCGTGGAGTTGGTGAGAGACGGTTGTAGATCACCACATGTTCATCAGTCTTTTTCTTATCACACCTGTGCTTTTGCCTTTAACAGCCGCCGCCCGCCGCTGCCAGCTCTTATCAGTAACCTCCACCCCACCCCACCCCACCCCCCGCAACCCCACACACTCATACACAGACACACACACACACAATGCTTATGGCTGGGGGAGTTTATCTGATTCAGAGTGTCACACTGATTTGTAGTTCAGTTGACGTATTACTTAATGAATGACAGCCTGAACGATTAAAATAATTAAAAATTGTATTTATACTGGGAAGTCTAATGGATGTCACATGTTCGTTTGCAGTGGTAAACTGTCATAAAAATGTAAAACAATACTTCAAGACGTTTTTACGATATACGATATCACGTCACATTTCAAAGACACTATCAAAAACTATGAATCCGATGATTTTTATTCAACATTTCATTCATATCCACAATATGTTTAGAAAAACATACTGTGACATATCGTGACCTCATTTTTCACAATAACAATAAATGTTTTCATATTGCCCAGCCCTCCTATTTATGGATTTCAGGTGTTTCAGCCACACCTTTTGCTAACACATGCATTAAATCAAACACAGCCATGCAGACTCCATAGACAAACACTGGCAGTAGAACGGGTCGCACTGAAGAGCTGAGAGACTGTAAACATGGCACTGCCATAGGATGCGTCTTTTGCTCAAAGCCAGTTAGTGAGATTTCTGTCCTGCTAGATCTGTCCTGATCAACTGTAAGTGCTATTACAGTGAAAGGGAAGCGTCTAGCAGCAACAACCGCTCAGCCACAAAGTGGTAGACTGCGCAAACTCACAGTGGTGGAGTGGTGAAGCACGTAGTGCATAAAAAACACTTATTCTCTCTTGCATTACTCACTACAGAGTTCCCAACTGCCTCTAGAAGAAACAACAGCACAAGAACTGTGTATCAGGAGCTTCATGAAAAGGGCTTGGATGGCCAAACCCTCTTCACAAGCCTGAGATCACTATGCACAATGCCAAATGTTGGTGTAAAGCACGCCGCCACTGGACTCTGGAGCAGTGAAAATCATCTAGAATCATGCTTCATTGTCTAACGGATAGACAAATCTTCATTATCTATCTGATGGATGAATCTGGGTTTGGTGGATGCCATACCGAAATGCATAGTACCAACAGTAAAAGTTGGTGGAGGGAGGATAAAGTCTTGGGCTGTTTTTCTGGATTTGGGCCTCTTAGTTCCAGTGAAGGTTATTAATGCTACAGCACAAAGACATTTTAAACAATTATATGCTTCCAACTTTTTTGGTGACAGTTTTAGGAAGGCCATTTCCTGTTCCAGCATGACTGAGCCCCTGTGCACAAAGTGAGATCCATAAAGACATGGTTTGACGAGTTTGGTGTGGAGGAACTCCAGCAGTCTGCACAGAGCCCTGACCTCAACCCCACTGCAAGCCAGGCCTTCTCATCCACTATCAGTGCCTGACCTCACAAACGCTCTTTTGACAGAATGGGCACACATTTCCACAGACACACTCCAAAGTCCATAAGAGTAGAGGCCGTTATAGCCACAAAGAAGGGCCAACTCCATTTTAATGCCCATGGTTTTGGAAAGGGATGTCCAACAAGTTCGTAAGTGTGATCATTTTTTGTGATGTCCACATACTTTTGGCCATATAGTGTAAAACCGGTAATGTTAACGTTTATGAAGATAAACAGACCTGTTCAGCAGAGTGTAATAAATGATATTACACAGTGCTCAGTGCACAAACAAAGAAGTGAGCTGGTTTTCTAAAATGGCTTACGGGGAAAAGATTCTGCTTTATGGTAGATGTTTGCAAAATCATTAAATGGATGGTGTGCACTGAAACAGACTTCCTTCCTTCTACCTTTTGTTGATGAAACCAGATCCTCTAGACCAGAGGTTCCCAAGCTTTTGCAATTGACAGCCCACACAGCCGACCACAAAAGCTTCTGTGGCCCACAAGAAGATTTAACCAGCCTGATTGTTTCAAATGCAAGCAAATATGACACAATAATTAATGCAGCCCATTGAATTTAACTTGAATGTACAAACATACAACATAATAAACACCAAAAAGTCATATAGTTTTCTGTTTGTAGCCATTTATCCATGATGGATGACTATATATTGAAAAAAAAGAGAAACGACTGACATTGATCACTGAGCTCACCCTGAAATATTTAGGTATTTTCACCAATTATTATCACAACAATGTTATATTTTAAAAATACTGCTTTGCTTAAAAGTCTATGTATTGTAATGGTGTTTTGCAGTTCAAAAAACAAAAAGAACAATCACCCCGTAGACCAGACCAGCTAATGAAAATATCCTGAATGTGATATGTATATGTATGTGACCATTCCCTTATCTTCCACTAGGTGTCAGTGTTACTGGCTATTCAATAAGAACCTGTCTGCTTTGAGGCTTGCTGCCCTGCACCCCTTCAATAACAAGACCTGGTGAAGGCCCAGTTAAATCTGATTATGCAGTGCCCTAAGCTTGATGCCTCCATCTGAAAGCTGTAAATAATTTAGGAGAGGGTGAGTATTCAGAGCCACTGTTACCGATACTGGGACTGCCCTGTCATTGAACCTATTAGAGCACATGATCTCAGAGCCTGAGCTCGGGAAGCTCTGGGATCTGCTTTCTTACAACCAAAGCCATAAACAAAGTATTCAAACTATAACATAATATATAAGCTGTGCCTCTGGTCTGATTGGCTGCCTCATTCAAAAAGCAATCCGGACTAAAACACTCCTCGCCGCTTCCATGTGAACTGCTGAAACTAAATATTCAAATGTACATATGAATACTGATTAGTTTATGTGATGTCATAAAAACAAAGAATTCAAAATAGGCTGACATGTGACATGTTTAGATTTGACTGATATTAAAAACTGATATTTGATAACTTATTTATTGTACTCGCGAAGAGCAGAATGTTTAGGTGACGCTGTGGTACTGCGCTAAGATGTCTGCATTTTATTCATTTTACTGCATTTGTGAGTCCATAGAAATAAATAAAATACAGTTCTCTGTAATGCTAGTCCAGGTGGACCTAGTCCCAGTTTCTATTTTTTATAAATGCTTATATTGCTAAATTTCCTTTGGGATCAATAAAGTATCCATCCATCCATCCATCCATTATCTATCTATTGGCATTGGCAGAGATGTACATGAAAAATACTGGATATCGGCATCAGCCCAGAATTCCCATATCGCTGCAAGGGAGTGAATGGTATGTTCTGAAAATTTAACATCAAACTTTTTAATTAAGAAATAGAAAAGTGAGGGAAATTTGTTTTTTCATTATCCGGGTCCTTCAAGCACCAAGTCTAGATTGTTTAATGGTAGAGAGCTCAAAAAATGCCATGATGAGCTTAAAGTCCTTAATCAGCTCTTGCAGCTCTTGCTTAATGTGTGTATGATTCCAGATTTCCACTGTGCTGTGTGATCCACTGTGCTCTGCATGCGTGGGTTCGTAACCTACCTTCGTCGAAAAGAGTTTCTTGTGGGGCAGTCGTGGGCTGGAGGTTAACCAGCCTTGTGACCGGAGGGTCCCCTGCCCATGGACCCCACAGGACATGACTGAAGTGCCCTTGAGCAAAACACCTAGACCCCAACTGCTCCCCAGGCGCCATGGATAGGGCTGCCCATCTCTCTGAGTTAAATGCAGAGGTCAAATTCCTCTGTGTGCAAACACCGTTGGCCAATGGTTCTGAATTCTATTCTATTCTATTCTCTATGTTGCACTCACTACACTCTTGGCTAAGTGTAAGAGGGTCTCATTAGTTGGATTACAGATTTCCTCTCTGATTGGGTTATGAAGGACAGAGTTTATTTGCATATGGTTTTAACATATTTGACTCCTTGGGACCACTGGTGGTTCCAAAACGCACTTCGTCATATTCTTCATAACTTTCATATTTCATAAGCTACATTCTAAAGGTGGGGGTCGTATGAGAGCTGTAACTGTCTTCTTCCCAGTCAAATAGATGGGTGATGTAATTTTAAACCCTTATAATAAAAGAAGCTGAACTCACAGTTTTTTATTCTACTGAAAGTCGACCCATTTTTCCACAAATCTGGGCTATAAACTATAAACAGATGGCGTCTCTTCAGTGATCTGCTCTGTAAACATTATTTTTATAAAATAATACAAAGAGCGTCTAAGATTTTTGGCTTTCAGCAGTAAATTATAAGCATATAGCAATATGTGTGATCATAAAACACATGTTCTGTTAATCTGAGGGGAGTTTTTACAACAAATAAATAAAATAAAAATGTACATTTATTCATGCAGTTACTGAATAATTTGCCTTACGATTTTGTCATGTAAATTCAGATGGAAAAACCAAAATATACCCTGGAGAATAAGAGGTTTAAATGTAAAGGCACCACAGGGCTGTGTGCATTCATTACTGTTCTTTTGTCAATTTATAAATGACTTATGAATGTCTGTCCATGCTAGTAATGTAAAACTGCTAATAGCATGGCCCTTGTTAGCCTCCCTCTCAGTCCACATGGGGACGTCTATGTCGTCCAAGTCACAATGCAAATGGTCAGACAAATGTGCTGCTGTTCTGCGATACTGAACAGGCCTCCCTTACGGAAATCTGATACATAGCCACATATGCACACACATCATGTGACCCTGTGACCCTGCTGAACTTCACACCACCAATTTAACCACATCTTTGCACTCACTGCACTGTTACTGCACTTTATGTCCTGGAATTATTGTACTACTCATACTTGTACAGTCTATTACTGCACTATTCATATTTGCACAGACAGTTATTGTACATGTTTTTACTCTGCATACTTATCATTTTAAATATGCTGCTCTCACAGTACATATGATCTTCATTTGCATTCTCTACACTCACTCTGTATATTATGTGTATATATTTATACTTGCAAAATCTATATTTTTACCACTCTACCATCCTTAATTGTACATATTGTAACCACAGAATCACTTACCATGGTTACCTTCCTGCAATTTATATGTAAATAATACTGTATTTTGTATGTCTGGTTAGATGCTAACTGCATTTCTTTGGCTCAGTATC